GGACCGTGGTTTTCCCTTGCTTCCAGGAAACAAAACGAAACAAGAAAAGGGAACTTCCTAAAGGTGGGTCTGGAGAACGACGCACGACACATACTGGCACGCCTCTGAAGTGGCGCGTGGCACAACAACGTGATCCTGGAGCAGCATATCTACGAGGTCTTTGGCAACTTCTTCAGCTCCCAAGGCGTCGACTGGGAGATTGAATACGCGCACACGACCCGAAAGGAGAACATCATCGCGTTTCAGCAGGTGGATTGCCCTGTATGGACCGTGGTTTTCCCTTGCTTCCAGGAAACAAAACGAAACAAGAAAAGGGAACTTCCTAAAGGTGGGTCTGGAGAACGACACACGACACATACTGGCACGCCTCTGAAGTGGCGCGTGGCACAACAACGTGATCCTGGAGCAGCATATCTACGAGGTCTTTGGCAACTTCTTCAGCTCCCAAGGCGTCGACTGGGAGATTGAATACGCGCACACGACCCGAAAGGAGAACATCATCGCGTTTCAGCAGGTGGATTGCCCTGTATGGACCGTGGTTTTCCCTTGCTTCCAGGAAACAAAACGAAACAAGAAAAGGGAACTTCCTAAAGGTGGGTCTGGAGAACGACGCACGACACATACTGGCACGCCTCTGAAGTGGCGCGTGGCACAACAACGTGATCCTGGAGCAGCATATCTACGAGGTCTTTGGCAACTTCTTCAGCTCCCAAGGCGTCGACTGGGAGATTGAATACGCGCACACGACCCGAAAGGAGAACATCATCGCGTTTCAGCAGGTGGATTGCCCTGTATGGACCGTGGTTTTCCCTTGCTTCCAGGAAACAAAACGAAACAAGAAAAGGGAACTTCCTAAAGGTGGGTCTGGAGAACGACGCACGACACATACTGGCACGCCTCTGAAGTGGCGCGTGGCACAACAACGTGATCCTGGAGCAGCATATCTACGAGGTCTTTGGCAACTTCTTCAGCTCCCAAGGCGTCGACTGGGAGATTGAATACGCGCACACGACCCGAAAGGAGAACATCATCGCGTTTCAGCAGGTGGATTGCCCTGTATGGACCGTGGTTTTCCCTTGCTTCCAGGAAACAAAACGAAACAAGAAAAGGGAACTTCCTAAAGGTGGGTCTGGAGAACGACGCACGACACATACTGGCACGCCTCTGAAGTGGCGCGTGGCACAACAACGTGATCCTGGAGCAGCATATCTACGAGGTCTTTGGCAACTTCTTCAGCTCCCAAGGCGTCGACTGGGAGATTGAATACGCGCACACGACCCGAAAGGAGAACATCATCGCGTTTCAGCAGGTGGATTGCCCTGTATGGACCGTGGTTTTCCCTTGCTTCCAGGAAACAAAACGAAACAAGAAAAGGGAACTTCCTAAAGGTGGGTCTGGAGAACGACGCACGACACATACTGGCACGCCTCTGAAGTGGCGCGTGGCACAACAACGTGATCCTGGAGCAGCATATCTACGAGGTCTTTGGCAACTTCTTCAGCTCCCAAGGCGTCGACTGGGAGATTGAATACGCGCACACGACCCGAAAGGAGAACATCATCGCGTTTCAGCAGGTGGATTGCCCTGTATGGACCGTGGTTTTCCCTTGCTTCCAGGAAACAAAACGAAACAAGAAAAGGGAACTTCCTAAAGGTGGGTCTGGAGAACGACACACGACACATACTGGCACGCCTCTGAAGTGGCGCGTGGCACAACAACGTGATCCTGGAGCAGCATATCTACGAGGTCTTTGGCAACTTCTTCAGCTCCCAAGGCGTCGACTGGGAGATTGAATACGCGCACACGACCCGAAAGGAGAACATCATCGCGTTTCAGCAGGTGGATTGCCCTGTATGGACCGTGGTTTTCCCTTGCTTCCAGGAAACAAAACGAAACAAGAAAAGGGAACTTCCTAAAGGTGGGTCTGGAGAACGACACACGACACATACTGGCACGCCTCTGAAGTGGCGCGTGGCACAACAACGTGATCCTGGAGCAGCATATCTACGAGGTCTTTGGCAACTTCTTCAGCTCCCAAGGCGTCGACTGGGAGATTGAATACGCGCACACGACCCGAAAGGAGAACATCATCGCGTTTCAGCAGGTGGATTGCCCTGTATGGACCGTGGTTTTCCCTTGCTTCCAGGAAACAAAACGAAACAAGAAAAGGGAACTTCCTAAAGGTGGGTCTGGAGAACGACACACGACACATACTGGCACGCCTCTGAAGTGGCGCGTGGCACAACAACGTGATCCTGGAGCAGCATATCTACGAGGTCTTTGGCAACTTCTTCAGCTCCCAAGGCGTCGACTGGGAGATTGAATACGCGCACACGACCCGAAAGGACAACATCATCGCGTTTCAACAGGTGGGTTGCCCAGTATGGACCGTGGTTTTCCCTTGCTTCCACCAAGCAAAACAAAACAATGAAAAGGGAACTTCCTAAAGGTGGGTCTGGCATGGCTCTGAAGCGGCGCGTGGCACAACAACGTGCTCCTGGAGCAGCACATCTATGAGGTCTTCGGCAACTTCTCCAGCTCCAAAGGCGTCGAGTGGGAGATCGAGTACGCGCACACGACCCGAAAGGACAACATTATCGCCTTTCAACGGGTGGGTTGCATATGATCCCTGTTTTTCCCTTCCCCATTTTGAGCCATCTTAGTAATGCCCGGGTTCCCTTGCAGTTTCTCCACGTTCTCAACACCTCACCTGATTTCCACACACCACATGGCACATGCCACATTGCGTTGCGTTGTCTAAACATTGTGCTATGTCCCATCACGCTGGGTGCAGAAGGTGGGGCGGAACTTGCTGATCGGGGAGTTCTGCAATGCGATGGGCAACAGTGCGACGTCAGAGCAGCAGGCCAACTTCTCTCTCGGACAGATGAAGGCATTCAGCCACGCCAAGGCCGGCTGGTTCTTCTGGTCCTGGAAACTCAACACCACTGGTACGTGCTCTTGTCAGTGCTCTTGTCAGTGCGCTTGTTGTGCTCCTTTCCTTCTGGATTTTCCTTCTCACAATCGCACCGGCTGTGAGTGATCTCCTCGCTCTTCTTGAATCTTCCCTCTTTTCATGCCCAGCAGCAGTACCGGTACTGGTACCCCATCCCTGGTTTCTCACCTTGAACTGTGTGTCCCTTGTCAAACCTTCAGTATTTTCCCTACTGTTTTTATGCTGCTGTCTTTTTTGAGTCGACTCTTAAGTCAGCTCTTTGCATGCCCAGCAGTACCGGTACCCCATCCCATCCCTGGTTTCTCACCTTGCATAATGTGTCCCTTGTCAGAGCTTTTTCCCTCCTGTTGTTTTCCTGATGCGTCCACCTGATGCAGGCACTCATCACTGGCAGTTTGTCAACAGCTATGACAGAGGCTGGTTACCCAAGAAACCAGATGGTAACTGGTATTGATGCACTTGTGAAAATTCTTTAGTCATGTTGTATTGTATCTATTAATTTATTTATTCATTGAACCCCACTGCTGCCTGCACTCGCATCAGTGGTAAAAACCAGTTTTCACCCCGTAACAACCATCTGGCTGGACGGAATGCTCTTATTTCTTCCCACACGTAGTCAAGCGTGGTGAGTTTTTGTAGGTACAATCATGTGTTTTACCTGGAAAATCCATACCATAGTAGATGAGACAGAATAGTCTGCTCATTCACTGAAACTGCAAACGTCAGTGCTCTTTTGTGTGCCTTCACCACTCTATTACACGGTGCTACTAACCTGTCATCCTGTCCTGAATGCCACTTACGGTACCGGTACTTCTTCCTCTGTGATCTGATGTGGGGTTGAAGTACCAACACCAACACTTACGGTAATTCGATCAATTATTATAAAGAATGCCATGCATATGCATTGCAGGCTTCATAGAATGTCATGTGGCACGGGATGGATGGGACTCAAATACACGATAAGCCATCTATTGTGTCCCCCCCACCTTCAGAACAGAAGTCTCAGCTTCACTTTCGTTGCTCAGAACTGGAGAGCAGGCAACCAACCAAAGTGGAATCCTGGCACTTGCTCCAGGATGAGCCCTCGTAACCCGCAATTGGGGCAGCCAACCAGGAGGAAACTCTAATACATGTACAGTAGCGACTATTGCAATTCAACAATGTGACAAAACTACACCCGTAGGTCATCCCTTCACACCTATCGCTCCCCACGTTGCTCCGGGGTAAGCCCTCCTGACCCGCAGGTAGGGCAGCCAACCAGGCCGAACCCCTGGCACTTGTAGCACCTGCAGCAACCAATGTGCATGGACAGAGAGATGGTGGTGAGAAGCGGTGACACATCAGCGTTGAGGAGTGGATATGTCTGATTATATACAGTATCAGGTTACCATATTATAGACATGTGGCAACGGGGGAAGGAAAGAGGAGGTAGAGGGAAGGGGGGGGTGTACGGGGCAAGAGGGTGTGGGGGAAGAGGGTTTGAAAGGAGGGAGGAGGGAAGGTTTTGGGGGCAAGAGGAAGGGGACAGACAGGAAAGATGGGGGAAAGGATAGGAGATCACAGCGCATATGCAATTCTGGCTCACTTCCATCTCTCCAAAATATTGCCATTGGTCTTGCTCTTCCCCGTCCCCTGTGAATCATAACAAGTTTTGAGACGTCTCTAAACGCGTATGCTATGCTGACTTACTTCCATCTCTCCAGCATGTTTCCCTTGGTCTTGCTCTTCCCCGTCCCCTGCAAATCATGCGACCACCAAACGGGAGAATAGCTTCACAACTTACAGGACAACCATACCGGAGCGAAGAAATGTGAAGAATTTAGACAGGACATTGCATTGAAAAGAGGCACGAACAGAAGATAGGAATCCGACAAATCAAACCACGACACGTTAACGTCTCAGAATACAAAAGGTAGGCGCATTTAGATGCGTCATCTCACTGCACCTATCATGTTCTCCAAGGTTAACGTCTCAGAAGTGGATTACCTTGCAAATGGGGCAATATAAGCCTCCCGTCTCTATGACTTGCGGGATTAGCGATGTATTAACAGTGCATTACCTTGCAGACGGGGCAATCCACACCGCCCGTGCCCCTGCAGGTGCTACACGAGGCTCTGGACACCTTTCCCTTAGCCGGAGGTGACTTTTTCGAGGGAGACTTGGACGGCGGGTCGGCCTGCAAGCGACAGGCAGGGACGGGAGGAGGCAAAGATGGTGGATTTCGAACAGTCAAATTCGGCAGAATGCACTTACAGAATCGTCGAATTCAGGTTGATTTGCTTAACAAAATGCATTGATTGATTTCTCGGGAAGAATGCACATGATTAAATGTTCAGAATCAGGAGAGCGTAAATGAAAATCCATGGAAAGAAAAATTAGGGAACCTGGCATATGCAGAGCGTCGAGCACATGGAATCAAAGTGCATGGGATTTGCCAGATTCTTAAGGAACGCCCAGATTCAGGTCGTGCAGCAGAATGAACGGTCATTACGAACCTTGGGCTTGCCCCAGCCGAAGAGCGCCTTCACCGCGACTGAGCGCCGGTTCGCGGGTTCGTCTCGTGAGCACGGATAATTTATCATGAGCAGCTGTGGAGCTAATAGGTTGGTTCCGGATGAAAGCTGCCCATTGGCTGCTTGTGACTGGCTCAACGAGCCAGCGAAAGAGACAGTGGCTACTGTAGATAGAGCCATAGGTGCGACGCCGGAAAGGCAATCCCTGAGTTGGCACGCTGACGCGGCAAACCCGCAGCGGTTTTCGACAACCACAATGTAATATTGCTATGATACTGGACGAACCGGCCCCACTACCAGCAGCTACTGTTTTCTTTCTTCCTATGGTAAGGTAAGGTACTTGGCAGAATTTAGGTCAAACTGCCTGCCTCACGACCAGATTGGCTATTTCTCAATCAACCTTCCTAAGGCGAGTCGCGACCAGCTTTCCTTCCCTTCCCACAGCATGTGATTCTCATCCACTACGTGGTTAGTTGGCCGTTGATTGGATGTCAGGTAGCGCCACGTGGACTCTGTAAGCGCGTTACAGTGAGCTCCGATTCAACGTCTGTCATGTCAATGGACAGAAGAATGAAACACTATCAATTTTCAATGAACTTATCCAAGGTGGGTTCGCTATTATCGATGAGTGCCGCGAGTCCATCTCAACCTCCTTTCCACGTGTGCTCGACAGCGTGTCTGTTTCAGTCAGGAAGAGCCAAATACACGTTTGAGTGACTTGGCTCGGGCTACAACGAAGGGCCGCAGTCTGCTCATTTCTGAGCCTCGATAATTTCGTGCCTCCTCACGTGATTGGGAAGTCGCTCTACTCCCCCCCGGTGTCCTTTCAGCAGTTTGAAAATATCAAGAACATCAAGTGCCATCCCTGCCCAGAAGTCTCATCTTCTGCCCAGAAATAGTTGTATAGTGTCAAAAACCAGCACGCAAACCAGCTACATACATTTGTGTTCTTATTGGAAAAAATCACGCTAACAATCAAAACGAACAATCACGGCTAACAAACAGTGTTCTTAGGCATTACGGAATGGGCATACATGTGACAAAAGGGAAATCCCTCTCCTACTTCATCTCCTCTTGCCCTCCCTACAGTTCAGTCTCATCAGTAGTAACATCAATTTTTCCCCATGGCTGCCTCTCGATGTTGTCGTATCGCGCTCACCAGTTCCACAGCTCCCGCGTGCGACGTTTCCAGAGCAGCCATTGCTGCTGCTTATCCCAATCTTGCTCTCGTCGGCGTCGGCTGAAAGGCACCTTGCTCGCTCCGTAGCCTAACGCGACAGAAACAACTCAGACTCTGCCTTCCGAAGTCCTAATTTGTCTGACAGAGAGCGTCGGAGAACCCGAGCATTCAGCGTTTCACGTAGAAACTTCTGGAGGCAGCTTCGTACTACCGTATTTGTCGGAGGGACTGATTGCACCTGCATCACCCCTGCCGTCACTACTTCCCGAATCACTACTGGTTGACTCGACCTAATCCACAGCCACCGCCACTGGCGCACTGTTTCGCGAATCGCGATCGCTTTCGTGTCCCGGTCACCCCTGATCAAACGCCGGCCTTTCGCGTTCCTACAAGCCACCGGTTGACGACACTGCCCGATGCCAGGCTAATTCGGCTTCAATCCTGTATACCGGAACAGTGCTCTGAGGAATTATTCTAGGAGTTCTCCTCCTTCCCCCAGCCTGGAGTTTAGACCGATCCATCGACTCCTGTCGGGGCCTCACGAGTCTAGACTTTTCCTCCTCTTCACTTTCAACTTCGTCGTTCAGTTTCCGAGCAGTTGTTTTAGGAGCAGTCCTCCTGCCTTCAGCGACTCCTATCATGACATTACGAGTCTAGACCGATCCTCCTCGTCTCCCTTCATGAAGGACCTCGCTCCATGGTTCTTCTGTTAGCTTCACGCTCTCCGCCGCTCATTCCTCTCCAGAGGTTTCCCCGTCTCCGCCGAGCTTCGGTTCGACTGCATCAGTAACTCTTTTGATACTGGCCTAGCAGGACTAGGACTAAAGTCTAGGACGGATTAAGGATAAGGACCTCTGAGATGGAATCTTCGAGTCTGACCGGCCGTCAGCAGCCGGACACGTCTGCTGCTGACGTTATCGGAGTAGGTTCTTCCACGACGGGTCGATGTGATGGTACTGAGGCTGTTCTCGATATAAGGCTCCCCGTCAACGGTGTTGAGTCGTCCCCGTGCGGGTTACGCGATGGCTCTGGTGAATTGGCGGAGCTTTGCGACCGGGTATATGGAAACGGGTTACCAATTTCGCCAGACCAGCAAGGCTGCGAGCTTCCCCCGAAAAGTTCCCCGCAGAATGATGCGAATGAACGCGGAGGCTTCGGCGGAAAGGGCAGCGGGACCGGGGCGCGCCCTGCGCCTGCCTCGGAGCTGGCAGGCGGGCGCGTTTGTGCTTCCGCCAAGGTGGCTCTGGGGGTACTTTCGGAAGTTCCGCGGAATCGGGGAGGGTCTTTTTCCGGCGTACCCGAGCTTTATCGTCGTCTTCTGGTCCTTCATCGCCTCGTTTATTGGTGCGCGCCTCGTTCCCTTTTTTCTTTCACTGGCTCTCACAAGGTTAGTTAGTCATTTCAAGCAAGGCTTCAGTTACTGGTGTTGAGCCCCTTTGCCTTCAAACCAGCGTTGGTGCATGCATTGATTCATAATGTCTGGCTGCTGTTGCCTATGGAAGATCATCCTCTCTCACTTCCATACTCCCTTCCCACAAATTTCTACCCACCTTCTCCTTTACATACTCCCATCAACCCCCTCCCGCCTACCCCCCTTTTCTTCCGTCGTTTATGATTGGCTCGTTTGGCGCCACAGCGGTGTGCTCATCTTCGGAACCATCGACTCGCCCTTTCATCTTCCGCCCCCCTTCCCCCCCACACTTCCTCCCTCAATGTTTGCAGGCATAGCCCTGTGCGCGTTTCTCGCGTTCAACACGAGCATGCAGCAGACCCTGAGCCTCTACCCGACAAGCACTAGCAGCAGCACAACTGAAACCGGCCAGCAGCAGCAAGCGTCGTTTATGATTGGCTCGTTTGGCGCCACAGCGGTGCTCATCTTCGGAACCATTGACTCGCCTCTCTCGCAGCCCCGGAATGTGGTCCTCGGGAGTGCCGTTTCAGCGGTGATCGGCGCGCTTATAGCGGAGATCTTCGCTATAGGCGGGCTCGCGTTTTCTAATACGTCGTGGCTGTGGCTACAGTGCGGTCTTGCGGTTTCCTTATCCATAGTGGGTACGTCCGTGGTTTCATTTTTCACTATTTGTGCAGCCAGCTGTGTAACTTCACGCGTTCTTTTGGGCGCGTTAGAAGGATTGTTTTCACTCTCTCTGCAGCTGTATAACTCCACATTTTATTCCTGATCTCGCCCATCCCATCCCCCCAATAACACTCCCCCCTTCCCCTTCCCCTCCCCACCCTTCCACCTCCCAGCCATGCAGCTGCTGCGTATCGTCCATCCCCCTGGGGGTGCTTCAGCACTCATTGCTGTCATGTCGCCTCCCTCTCTGCGCTGCCACGGCTTCTTTGTGCTCACTCCCGTGCTGCTGGGAGTGTGTATCATGCTCACTGTCGCTCTCTTTGTCAACAATATCGCCCGACAGTAAGCCAACACACGGCTTCTTTACTTTCTCCCTCTTCATCTCATTTCTCATCCTCATGCGTTGGTTTTCCCGTATCTCCACCACCCTATTGTTTTTTATTTCCAGCCTTGCTGCCGAGTCCTTGCTTCTCTCTCCTGGTCCTTTTCTTCGACCCTGTAACCTCCCCTCCCGCCTTCCACTCCACCTTTACTCACCCTCACCCCCACCCCCAACCTCACCGCCAGGTACCCTCTGTACTGGTGGCGGCCAATCATCCTTGACATTCCCGTGCCAGAGGGCTCCACGCACCACTCCCTGTGCTCACTCACCCACCTGTGCCTCTTCCCTGCTCTTTCCCCATTCCTATCCTACCCTTTCTCACCAGGTACCCTCTGTGCTGGTGGCGGCCAATCATCCTTGACATTCCCGTGCCAGAGGGCTCCACACATCACTCCGCCTGCTCACTCACCCACCTGTGCTCTTTCCCCTCTCCTTCCCACTTTCAACCCACTCCACCCACCAGGTACCCCCTGTACTGGTGGCGGCCACTCATCCTCGACATTCCCGTGCCAGAGGGCTCCACACACCACTCTCTGTGCTCTCTCACCCACCTGTGCCTCTTCCAGTTCACTTACCTTCCAACCATTCCTCACTCCTTCCCACTCCTTCCACCCCCCCCTCACCAGGTACCCCCTGTACTGGTGGCGGCCAGTCATCCTGGACATTCCCGTGCCAGAGGGCTCCACGCACCACTCCGCCGTGACAGCAGGCGAGGCATACCACACAATACAGCACCTGCACGCCGTGCACTCCTCCGTGCACCACGCCTCTTCCCAGCTGCCCTCCCAACAGCCCTCTCAACCGCCCTCTCAGCTGCTGCCACTGTGCCTGCCTTCAAGCGATGCACAGCGCGTCCACGCCGTACACTCCCCTGTGCAACCCTCCGTGCAACCCCTCGTGCAACCCGCCGTGCAACCCCCCGTGCACCACGGTATGGGCCATGCCGCGGGCCATCGCAATAGCAACAGCAGCAGCAGCAGCAGCGCTCGAGAGCATGGCATTCATGTGACTGCAGGCGAGGCGTACCACACGATTCCGCACATCCACGCCGTGCATTCCCCCGTGCACCATGCCATGCCGCATCAGCCCCTCGGCCTCCACTCAACCAGTGACGCTGCGACAGCTGGCGGGGTGCTTCACAGGGTAGGGAACACCCATCCGCTGCCAGCGCTTTCACAGCATGTCCATCCGCAGCAATCATCGGCGCATGCGGTGCAGAGCGGTACAGATGCTGAGGAGGACGGGTCAGCGAGTCGTGTTCATGGCGGCACGGCGTACATTCAAGGAGGGCGTGCGAGAGCGGTAACATGTAACGATGCTGGTTACGCGTGCACGCAGCAGGGCACGCAGACGGCAACCGCGGCAGAAGCATTGGCAGCAGAGCTCACCTTTCGTGGCGGGCCGTTCCGCCACGTCAGCAACTCAGCAGTGCGCCACGTCAGCGTTCCCCCGCTGAGTCACCAGCAGCATCGCGACAAGGACAAACAGCAGGTCGAGCAGCAAACGCAACCTTTTTTCGGGCAGTACAGAAAAGTTTACCTGCTGTGTTGTCGATGCCACGTCATCACACTCCTCTCTATCTGATGACCAAGCAGTTGATGACAGAAGAGAGCACAGCAACACTACACGGGACAATAATTCAGCGGGCATTGAACAACTGAGTCCATTTGCTGTCTGTCAAGCTGGAACCGTTGATCAAACTGCTACTGATGCATTTGCACGCGTTGATTCGCCAGCTGATACTGATCCAGCGGCTGGGGTTGATGCACCTCCTTTCCTTGGGGACTCCATTAAGGAAGAACCACATCCAGCTAAGGCTGTGGGTGATTCTGGGAGTTCTGTAACTGACTCGCCAGCACACACCAATGTGGACTCAGTCAAAGATTCAGCAAGCAGCAGGGAGCAGAGAGTATTTGGCGATGACTCTTTGAACATAGATGGCCTTTCGGCCGCTGGAAGGGCATCTAGAGAAGGTTTAGAGGACTCAGCAACTCATGATGGCCGGACGACACCAACGTGAAGATGGATCAGCATGAGTGATAGGTAATGAATACTGTAGCAGTGGGTAGTGGTTATGTCAAGAAGCTTTTTCTTTATTTCAACGAGTTGTCTATGCCGTAGCATGAAAGCATGTGGGTGTGGTTCATATAGTGGAAGGACATTCTCATGTCAATAGTTTGTTCCAAGATTGGAACTCATGGTAATGACCACAAGAATATGTGTTTTTGCCAAAGACTGGTGCTGGTCGCCAACAGGCTAAAAAACAGAAAATATACTACCCGTATCATGCAATCCATCAGGTCAGCTCAACTACCATTCGTTACCTCTACACTCCCAGTCACTGTATCCGCATCGGTTTCATGCCTTACGAGCAAGCCCCCATGTCCCTTCGCATTCCCATAGCTACAGCGATTAGTTAGTATCGCAAAGCTTGATTAGCTAGCATCCCAAGTAGCGAGTCGCGGCGCGGTGCTCGCTCTAGTTGACGAAAAAACACATTTATTTGAAGTTCTAGGAAAAAAAACGTTCCGAAGAAATAGCGCGGGATTGGCTTACTTTTTTTATGGTTATCCTATATAGGATACATAATCACCCTAGCTTCACATCCCTTGAACGCGCAGTGAACAGATGGCGAAGGTGGCGGCTCCATGGTGGATGGGTGACCCTAGTCGGCCTATAACGGATCAACCGGAAGGCACTTTCGTTTGGGCTAAGGTGCGATTTGGTCATGGTTTTTCTACCCTAAATGGACTCACTTGTCCTCACACGTGTATATTTAGGTCAACAGGCGTTAACTGCGTGCATGTTCATGTCATTCCTTAACTAAGTGGGTCATGTCAGACTCTCGAAGTGCTTCACAGCAAAATTAAATTGCTCTTTACGTGGCTATGGGGTTCCAGTAACCTAATAACTGCGATTTTACCGCTCCAGACCTCTAACTCTTCAGAGTCTCGTTTTACTTCGTGTTCCTTCTCATCCACGCATTTCTACTGACTCTCTGCTTGGTCTCTGTCCTTTGCAGGGATTCTCCCTCCTTGTTCGACTCCCGTTTCTCTTACCTTTCCTCCCCTCTCTCCCTGTTTCTCTTCCCGTTTCCTGTTCTCCACCTCCCCACTCCTCTCCCTCCCTCCTCCTCTCTCGTTTTTCTTCCAGAAACGCGCTCAGTGGCATGCAGGCATCATAGCGTCGCCCCTCAATTGCTCCACTCCCGCTCCTGATGCTCCCAACACTCCTTCCCATGCACTCACCACCACCACTCGAGCACGCTCCTCCCATGTCTGCGTCTTTCTGCCCCGGGATGCCACCTTTGTTTGGAGCTCTCCAGACTCTGTGCTCCACGTGTGGATCAAGCCCGACCCGCTTGGCCCGTATGCTAGGCCCGTACTCAGGAAGCTGGTGTCTATGTGTGAGGGAAGTGGTGGGGAGGAGCGGGAAGCTGTTGGTAGTGGTGGTGGTTCTGCCTTTGGTGGTGGTGGTGGTGCTGCTGCTGCTGCTGCTGCTGCTGCTCGTTTTGGTGGTGCTGTTGGGTTGAAGAATGCTGGCGTGTCAGCAGGAGATGCTGCCACGTCAGCTGGGCGAGGGAGGGAGGCCAATCCGCTTCCTGCTTGGGCGAAGCCGGCTAAGCAAGCAACGGAGGGCAGGGGTAGTGGAGGCGGGGAGGGAAGCGGGCAACGAGGAGATGACAGTGAGAACGCGGGTGGAGATGGGGAAGATGATGGAGGGAGTGAGGGAGGGAGAGGAAGGAGTGACGGTGTGAGAAAAGGGAAGGAGAATCAAGAAGTGGGAGGGAATCAGAGAAGGAGTCGAGGTGGTGGTGGTGGTGGGAGTGAGTCAGGCAAGGAGTGGATTCTGAGGCGCATGAGGAGGGTTGGGGTGCTGACAGTGGCGACAGAAATACTCGACTTGAGTGACCAGGTCCCATTAGAGGTATGCTCGATCGAAAGAAAGAAGAAAGAAAGAAAGAAAGAAAGAAAGAAAGAAAGAAAGAAAGAAAGAAAGAAAGAAATAATAAATAAATAAAGAAATAAAGAAGGAAAAAAAGAGTCTCATGAATTTTTGTGTGTGGCTCGCTTTCGCTCTCATATTCCACCCTGATTCCAAACTTGAACAGCGCTGAACAAACAAAGAGTACGGCTCTTCCTTCTCTCCCTTCCTTCTCTCCCTTCCTTCTCTCCCTTCCTTCTCTCTCTTCCTTCTCTCCCTTCCTTCTCTCCCTTCCTTCTCTCCCTTCCTTCTCTCCCTTCCTTCTCTCCCTTCCTTCTCTCTCTTCCTTCTCTCCCTTCCTTCTCTCTCTTCCTTCTCTCCCTTCCTTCTCTCTCTTCCTTCTCTCCCTTCCTTCTCTCTCTTCCTTCTCTCCCTTCCTTCTCTCTCTTCCTTCTCTCCCTTCCTTCTCTCCCTTCCTTCTCTCCCTTCCTTCTCTCCCTTCCTTCTCTCTCTTCCTTCTCTCCCTTCCTTCTCTCTCTTCCTTCTCTCCCTTCCTTCTCTCTCTTCCTTCTCTCCCTTCCTTCTCTCTCTTCCTTCTCTCCCTTCCTTCTCTCCCTTCCTTCTCTCTCTTCCTTCTCTCCCTTCCTTCTCTCTCTTCCTTCTCTCCCTTCCTTCTCTCCCTTCCTTCTCTCCCTTCCTTCTCTCCCTTCCTTCTCTCTCTTCCTTCTCTCCCTTCCTTCTCTCTCTTCCTTCTCTCCCTTCCTTCTCTCTCTTCCTTCTCTCCCTTCCTTCTCTCCCTTCCTTCTCTCCCTTCCTTCTCTCCCTTCCTTCTCTCTCTTCCTTCTCTCCCTTCCTTCTCTCTCTTCCTTCTCTCCCTTCCTTCTCTCTCTTCCTTCTCTCCCTTCCTTCTCTCTCTTCCTTCTCTCCCTTCCTTCTCTCTCTTCCTTCTCTCCCTTCCTTCTCTCTCTTCCTTCTCTCCCTTCCTTCTCTCCCTTCCTTCTCTCCCTTCCTTCTCTCCCTTCCTTCTCTCTCTTCCTTCTCTCCCTTCCTTCTCTCTCTTCCTTCTCTCCCTTCCTTCTCTCTCTTCCTTCTCTCCCTTCCTTCTCTCTCTTCCTTCTCTCCCTTCCTTCTCTCTCTTCCTTCTCTCCCTTCCTTCTCTCCCTTCCTTCTCTCCCTTCCTTCTCTCCCTTCCTTCTCTCTCTTCCTTCTCTCCCTTCCTTCTCTCTCTTCCTTCTCTCCCTTCCTTCTCTCTCTTCCTTCTCTCCCTTCCTTCTCTCTCTTCCTTCTCTCCCTTCCTTCTCTCCCTTCCTTCTCTCTCTTCCTTCTCTCCCTTCCTTCTCTCTCTTCCTTCTCTCCCTTCCTTCTCTCCCTTCCTTCTCTCCCTTCCTTCTCTCCCTTCCTTCTCTCTCTTCCTTCTCTCCCTTCCTTCTCTCTCTTCCTTCTCTCCCTTCCTTCTCTCTCTTCCTTCTCTCCCTTCCTTCTCTCCCTTCCTTCTCTCCCTTCCTTCTCTCCCTTCCTTCTCTCTCTTCCTTCTCTCCCTTCCTTCTCTCTCTTCCTTCTCTCCCTTCCTTCTCTCTCTTCCTTCTCTCCCTTCCTTCTCTCTCTTCCTTCTCTCCCTTCCTTCTCTCTCTTCCTTCTCTCCCTTCCTTCTCTCTCTTCCTTCTCTCCCTTCCTTCTCTCCCTTCCTTCTCTCCCTGTCCTTTGAGTCGACTCAGAAGTCGCCGCTGAACGAATAAAGAGTACGACTCTTCCTTCTCTCCCTGTCCCTCCGCCCACTGCTCCTGCTCCTCCTCCCGTTTTCTTCCTTCTCTTTCTCCTTTTGCTCCCTTGTACTATTCCTGCTCCTCTCCCGAACCTTCCTTTTCTCCCTTCCATCTCTCTTGCTCCTCCCCTGTTGCTCCTCCTGGCCATCCCATCCCCAACGTCCCTCCTCCTTCTGTTAGGCTGTGGTGCTGACGGCTCGCTCCATCTCGTTCTGGTCTGGCTTTGCTGAAAGGGGTGCTGGAGCCGAGTCGTATGAGCAGCAGGGAGAGCTGTTGAGCGACCTCTGCCAGGCAGGTGATTTGCTTTATAGATGTCAATGAGAGTGGTTGAGAGCGGTAAGAAGCGATGAGAAGGACATTGCTGGAGCCGAGTCGTATGAGCAGCAGGGAGAGCTGCTGAGCGACCTCTGCCAGGCAGGTGACTTGCTTTTCAAGGTCGAGAGTGGTTGAGAGAGGTAACTCGTGGTGACTACGATGGTCCTGGAGCCGAGTCGTATGAGCAGCAGGGAGGGCTTCTGCTGAGGTATCTCTGCCAGGCAAGTGACTTTCTATACATGCTGTTGAGAGTGGTTGAGAGCGGTAAGGAGTGGTGACTAGGATGGCCAGGGAGGGCTGCTGGTATCTCTGCCAGGCAAGTGGTTTGCCTTTCAAGGGGGGCTGGCAAGTGTGAAGGGTGGCTGAGATTCGTTGGGAGTTGTTTGTTGAGACCTCTTATCCAACCCCTCAAGTTCAGTTCAGCCTATCAGACAGCACAACACATCTGTGCACACCGGCATCATCAGTCAGATGTTCAGCATCAAGCTTTGAGGCGCCTCAAAACTAGATTCGTGGGTAGTTGTTGAGACCTCTCATCCAACCCCTCAAGTTCAGTTCAGTTCAGCCTGTCAGTCAGCACAACACATCTTTGCACACCGGCATCATCAGTCAGATGTTCTTATCATTCAAAGCATTTCTTACCCGTATCCTCAATATTGTTTGACCCATTCTTTCCAACCTTTTTTACTTATCTTCCCGCCCGCCCCTCTGTCCCCTCCTTCCGTCCATTCCCCTCCTTCCTTCCATTCCTTCCGTTTCTGCCTCCCTCCCTCCGTCTTTCCATTCTTGCAGATCATCCTGCCACAGCTGCTGCATCCTGATTGGCTCTCATCCCGCCACGCCAGCTGGACCAATGAATGCCTAGCTACCAACTCAGCACCAGCAGTGCATTCACGCATCCAGGTAACAACACCAGAGTACACTCAGTCCCTCAGGTACACTAAGGTCCCTCAGTCCCTCAGGTAAACAACACCAGAGTACACTCAGGTGAAAGAAGAGTGTTTTTGAGACGTCTCAAAAACGCCAGAGTACATTCAGTCCCTTAGGTACCCTAAGGTCCCTCAGTCCCTCGGGTCCCTCAGGTAAACAACACCAGAGTACACTCAGTCCCTCTGGTAGGGTTGAGCACAGGCCGGGCCGGGCCCTCAGGTCCACTAAATTCTCCTCATATTCATTCTCTGAAAGCACCTTCTCTTTCCTTCCCCTTTCATATTCCTTACCTCTTAACTCCCATCTACTGCCCTTTTCCCCCTCCCTCTCCTCCAGGAGCTCTCTTCAGCCATCCTCTGATCGCACGTCTCAGACCTCTGGAAAGTCTCCCTCCCGCCGCAACCAGCAGCAGCGCGGGGTGCCTTCAAGCGCCCTCTGTTTCCTCCCTTGCTATTCATTCACTCTGTCTGTACCCCCGTCTCCCCCCACCAGGAGCTCTCTTCAGCCATCCTTTGGGCAAACGTGGAAGACCTCTGGAAGGTGTCTCAGCCGCCGCAACCAGCAGCAGCGTGGGCGGCCTTCAAGCACCCTCTGCTGGCCGCAGTGGCAGCGTGTGTGGTGACGGGCACGCCTGGCAGGGAGAGGCTCTGGTCCAAAAACGGAAGGAATGGGAGGATCTTTGGGGATCTCCAGTCTCTTCCCTTAAATTTTCTCTTCCTCTGACCCATGCCTCTCCCCTCCAGGAGCTCTCGTCAGCCGTCCTCTGGGCGCACGTGGAAGTGCTCTGGAAGGACTCTCTCCCGCCGCAACCAGCAGCAGCGTGGGCGGCCTTCAAGCGCCCTCTGCTGACCGCCGTGGCAGCGTGTGTGGTGACGGGCACGCCTGGCAGGGAGAGGCTCTGGTCCAAAAACGGAGGGATCTTTGGGTTCCTTCCCTCTGCTGTGGGCGGTGGCGGTGGTTCTGCTGGTGGTGGTGGCGGTGGTGGTGGCGGTGGTGGTGGCGGTGGCGGTGGCGGTGCTGGTGGCGGTGCTGGTGGTGGTAACGGTGCTGGTGGCGGTGCTGGTAATGATGGTGGTGCCACTGCTGCAATTCTCGCATCTCCTGGGACTGTGAACCGTAATGTTGTGGGCACAGAAGCTGATGCTGCTGCTGCTGCTGCTGCTGCTGCTGATGCTGCTGCTGCTGCTGCTGCTGCTGCTGATGTTGCTGCTGCTGCTGCTGCTGCTGCTGCTGCTGCGGCTGTGCCGGCTGGTACTACCTGTGCTAAGGTAGCATCAGGAGTCGGAGCAACAACAGCAGGGGCAGCAGCAGCGGAAGCAGCACAAGGGGTGGCAGCAGCAGCGGCAGTAGTGGCAGCAGGAGCACCAGAGGGGCCAGCGGGCAGTGGTGTGGTTAAGTGTTTTGGTTTGCTAAGCAGCGGCAGAAAGTGCCCCCGCAAGGCCAGGCCTGGGGAGCTTTTCTGCAGTGCTCATGCTGATGCAGGGGTGTCAGGGGGGGAGGGGGTGGGAGTGAGAGATGGGGTAGTGAATAGTGAGGGGGACAGGGGGATTGAGACAGCACGAATGCAACGGGGAGGGGGGGAAGAAGCTTTAAGGGAAGGAGGGGGGAGAGGAGGAGATGGAAGGGTGTTGAGAGGTGGAGAGGGGTTGAGCGATGGGGAAGTGGATTTGGGGGAGTTGGAACCCATTGGTGACTTTTCCTTAGGCATGTATGGTTCTGGTGCTGATAGTGTGTGTGAGCGAGCTGTTGGCATTGGTTCTGGTGCTGATTGCAATGGAGGAGAAGGAAGAGGAGGATTAGAAGAGGAGAGAGCAAGAGCATGGGCAGGAGCAGGAGCAGAGGCAAGAGCAGAGGCAGGAGCAGAGGCAGGAGTAGGAGAAGCAGCAGGAGCAGCAAGAGGTTTGAGCTTTGGCAGTGTGAGGAGCTCGTTTCAGCGGAGGAAAGAGAAGCTGATCGTGCTGTGCAGTGGCGTTACGAAGAGAGGCGGGCCGTGCCAGGTGCCGGTGCTGCCCCCCTCCGCGCTGTGCCAGTTCCACAGGCGACAGCAGCAGGATCATCATCAGCAGCAGCAGCAGCACGCAAGGGAGCATGTGCAGCAATCAGAGCAGCAGAGATGGCAACAGCAACAAGAGCAGCAGCAGCAGCAGCAGCAGCAGCAGGAGAGGCAGCGGCAGCAGCAACGACAAGAAGACGCAAGACAATGGCAGCGGCAGCGGCTGCAGCATCGAAAACAAGCAATGGATATGTACTATGAGGATAAGGATGCGGAGTATTATGAAGGTGATGAGGAGGAGGAGGGCCGTGGGAAGACCCATGAGGAGGAGGAGGAGGAGGGCCGGCACATGACGGGTTGTGATGAGGAAGGTTACCATAAGTATGGTGGTTACCACAAGGATGGTGGTTACCACATGCGCAGTCAGGGGCTCTGCGAGGAGGCACATCGTGACAGTGATGGCACTGCTCGTAACCGTGACTACAACGAAAGTGATTCTATCCGTGGTGACTATGATGAAGCTGATGATGGTAAAGAAGGTGAGAGTGGTACCGAAGTGAGAGAGCTGAAGCTCCAGGTGAGGCAGCTGTTTGGAGCGTTTGTTGAGGGAGACGTAGGGCAGTGGGCTGCCCTGGCTGGTGGGTGGGCAGCCTTGGCAGGCGGACCGGGATTTGAGGCGCCCCGAAAGCTGTTTGGAGCGTTTGTTGAGGGAGACGTAGGGAAGTTGGCTGCCCTGGCAGATGGACCGGTAGCAGTTGGTGGTATTGCGGAGAGTGGTATGAGGGATGGTGATGTGAGGGAGGGTGACATGGGGGACGGTGATATGAGAGATGGGGAATCAAGGGAGAGAGGTGTGAGAGAGAGTGGCTTGCGACAGGGTGATGGGGTGCCTGCCCTCAGCGCGGCTCCGCTGTGTCGTCTGTCAGAGAGGATAGATACCCTTGTGACTCGAGCTGCTGCTGCTGGCGATACTTCTGGTGGTGGTGGTGGTGCTGCTGCTGCTGCTGCTGCCGCTGCTCCTGCTGCTAATACTTCTGGCGATGTTAACTCTCAAGAGAACCCTCAAGTGAACCCGGGCCTATGGCAGCTGCTGCAGCTGGTGTCTGCTCGGTTGAACGCTCTGCGGCCAGTGGTAGAGCGCCAGCGGAGCAGAATGGACGCTGGCGATTGGTGGAGAGAGGACTGGAAGGGGTGGAGGGAGTTGGTGCTGAGGGGAGGTAGCAGATGGAAGGTGAGAGATGGAGTAACTGAGAGGGGGACAGAGCGGGGAATTCAGAAAGGGAGGGGGGAAGAGGGCGGGATAGAGAGCAGGAAGCAGGGAGACAGAGAGTGGGGACGGGAAACAGAGGGAGAGGAGGAGGAGGATGGTGATTCTGGTGGTGATGGTGAGGATGATGCTAATGATGGTGATGATGTTTCACAAGGTCGGAGAACCGTTGCTCGAAAGGCCGTTCAAGATTTGCATGAGTTCAGGAGGATGATTAGGGCAAATACACGGAGAAATAGAGAGGAGGATAAAGGAGAGGTTGAGGGCACATGTGTGGGGGCGAAGAGGAGAAGAGACACCCGAAGGGATTCTTCGTTTTTTCCGGCAAAGGGAGCGAGAGAAGCTGCTGGTGGTGCAGAAAGGTTTGCTACAGCACGATTGGCAGCTGCAGCGGCAGGATCAGAGGCACACCCAGCAACAGCAACAGCAACAGCAGCAGCAGCAGAAGCAGCAGCAGCAGCAGCAGCAGCAGCAGCAGCAGCAACAGCAGGGGCATCGGTGTCAGAATCTGTTGGGAGGAACAGTGCTGTCACAGACGGATGTTCGCGAACCAGAGGGGACAGACGTTCCACCGCTGCTACAGTTGCTACTGCTGCTACCGCTGCTACAGCTGCTGCAGGTGCCAAAGCTTCTGAAGCAGCTACAGCTGCTGCTACAGATGCTACAGCTGCCACAGCTGCTACAGGAGAGGCTGGTGTGATCGTGTACCAGAGAAAAAAGCTTCGTGAAGCAGGTGGTGCCATGTCCAAAGGAGAGAGAGATTCCCTGGTGGTGTGTGCGGATCTGAGTGGGGGGAAAGAGCGGGTGCCGATACTATGTGTGGTGGACGGGGCAGTGATGCAGGGAATGAGGGGTGGGGAGAGGAAAGGGGAGGAGGAGGGAGGGGGTTGGGAGCGGTGGAGGGAGTTTGAGTACATCACGCAGCGGTACTTCGACCCCAACCTTGGGCTCGATCTCACTGTGAGTTGACTTTTCAGGCGCCGAAATCATCCCCCTGACTCAGGAGGACACGGAGGTAGGTGGGAGCGTGCAAGATGAATGACTTTTGAGACGTCTCAAAAATGACTCAGGAGGACACGGAGGTAGGTGGGAGCGTGCAACGTGAACGGGAACGTAGGCTCCCTTCTTTCTTTGTGAATTTTCTCCTTCACTCCTTCTTTCCTCCTTTCTCTCCTCCTCCAGAGCTGGCAGCTGGGCTGTGTGTGCGAGGGCCCTGCATGTGATTTCAGGGTGTGCGACCAACCACGTGGCGCACTCACAGCAGCACACGGAGAGGGGTGGTGGCTGAGAATAAAAAGCTCAGACTCCCATTTTCGCTTCAATCTTCTGTTCCCAACCCTGAACTCTCTCCTCCTCCAGAGCTGGCAGCTGGGCTGTGTGTGCGAGGGCTGTGCCTGTGAGTCCAGGGTGTGCGACCACCCACGTGGCGCACTCCCAGCAGCACACGGAGGGGGGTCGGAGTGATATGAGAAGGGAGTCGGGAACCCATTCTCCCTCTTTCACTCCTCTGTCCCCTTTCTCCTCCATCAGAGCTGGCAGCTGGGTTGTGAATGCGAGGGCCCTGCCTGTGATCCCAGGGTGTGTGACCACGTTGCGCACTCCCAGCAGGACACGGAGGGGGAAGCGTGTGACGTGAATGGGGAGTCCATGCGAGGACGCTTTGCCTACGACAGCAACGGCAGGATCGTGCTTCAGGTAGGAAAAAAGATTGCGTGCTTCGGGTATGGGAAAAATGGAGAAGGAAAAAAAAAAAAAAAAAAAAAAAGAGAGAGAAAAGAACAAGAAAAAGAGCGACTTCTGAGGTGTTTCCGGACCGAATGAACTCTTTGCTCGTCTTTGGCAAAGTGTCCTGGCATGGACTGTTTTTATCATTGCATGGATGGACCCTCGCTGACTGCAGTGTGTTGCCACTTGCACTGTACTTGCAGGGACTTGTTTCTTTTGGAAAGAAAGAAAGAAAGAAAAAAACACACAAAAAAGTATGTGTTTATGTTTCCTGCTTAGCATGCCCTGCTCTCATCCCCTCCGCCCATCAGAGAGGCCTCCTGGTCTACGAGTGCAATGCACGCTGTGGGTGCGATGCCCTCAAGTGCCCCAATCGGGTGCTGCAGCGGGGCATTCAGCATCGCCTTGAGCTCTTCCTCACTCCTCACAAGGTCAGCCCCTCTCAGTTTGCTGTCTGACTGACTTGACTGACTGGATGCCACATGGCATGGCATGGCTTCAAGTGCCCCAATCGGGTGCTGCAGCGAGGAGGCATCCAACACCGCCTTGAACTCTTCCTCTCTCCACACACAAGGTCAGCTTTTTCCATTCTCCTGACTAACTAACTCACTCACTCACTCACTCAATCATTCACTCACTCACTCACTCACTCACTCACCCACTCGTCCCTTCACCCTGTCGCTTCCTCACTACTCACGAGGTCAGCTTCTTCCATTCTACTCACTCTCTCACTCACTCACTCACTCACTTGTCCCCTCACCCAGTCGCTTGCTCACTCCTCACGAGGTCAGCTTCGCTCACTCTGTCTCACCCTCTCTCAACATGATTGTGCCGTTGCTTACACATGTGCTCCTGCCCCTCATGCAGGGCTGGGCCGTGCGAGCGAGCAGCAGAGCCGTTAAAGCGAGGCACCTATGTGTGCAAGCGGTTTTCCCCTCAATACGCCTTTCTTCGTATCTCCCCCTTCACCTCTGCGTGCAGTGCAGGGCTGGGAGGTGCGAGCAGCAGAGCCGTTAAAGCGAGGCACCTATGTGTGTGAGTACATTGGAGAGGTGGCGGGCAGTACAGAAGCCAAGCCGGCAGACACTCTCACACCTACTCTGAGTGCCCACTATGCTCCCCTCATGCAGGGCTGGGCGGTGCGAGCAGCAGAACAACTGAAGCGAGGCACCTTTGTGTGCGAGTACATTGGAGAAGTGGTGGGCAGCACAGAAGCAGCCACACGCGCACAGGCATACCCTGAGATTGGCTCTTATCTGTACGATATAGACGCACACATGGACGCACCCCGTGCTGCTTTGCACTGCGGTTCAAGTGGGAAATTATCAAGAGAAGAGACGCGTAGTTCAAAGAACCAGGGCAATGCGTTGGTCAAGAGAAGAAGGAGGTTGGCGCGGACTGGTGGGCGTGCTGCTGGGTGGGTGAGGAGAAGCGAGCAGCTGGAGAGGGAGAGAATCAAAGAGAAATGGAAGAGGGGTGAGGAGGGATGGGAGGATGAGGAAGAGGAGTTGGAGGAGAAGGGGGAGTGGTGGGATGTGGGGAACATGGAAGAATGGGAGCTCGAGGAGGTGGGGCTGAAGAAGCCGCTGCGGCAGCAGCAGCAGCAGCAGCACTTTGTGATTGATGCGACGCGGCAGGGAAACATCGCAAGATTCATCAACCACAGGTGAGTGGCATATTGAATCTGGCAGAGGAGTGGTGGGATGTGGGGGACGTGGAAGATTGGGAGCTGGAGGAGGTGGGGCTGAAGATGCCGCAGCAGCAGCAGCAACAGCAGAAGCACTTAGTGATTGACGCCACTCGGAGGGGGAACATTGCAAGATTCATCAACCACAGGTGTGTGGCATGTTGGAGGAACCAGAACTCTCTGAGCATTAGAGCAGTTGCGGTAGTGGCAGCAGCAGCAGCAGCACTTTGTGATTGACGCCACTCGCCAGGGGAACATTGCAAGGTTCATCAACCACAGGTGTGTGGCATGTTGGAGGAACCAGAAATCTCTGAGCATTAGAGCAGTTGCGGTAGTGGCAGCAGCAGCAGCAGCAGCACTTTGTGATTGACGCCACTCGCCAGGGGAACATTGCAAGGTTCATCAACCACAGGTGTGTGGCATGTTCGATCTAACAAAACATTCCCGGGTATTCGGGACTGCTGTTTGTTTCATGATCCCCTGATTGTTGGTTTTTCCTGACCTAATATTCCATAATCCACAATATTTTCTCACTCCTGAAAAACCAACAATCAGGACCTGATTGTTGTTATTTTCTCTGAATTTCAGCCCCAATCCCCGAATCTCACTCCTCCCTCCACCTATACCCGCTCCCCTGGGTCCTTCTCCCAGCTGTGACCCCAACCTGGTGAACTACTCGGTGCGTGTGGGGAGCATGGACTGCCATCTCGTATATTTGCACCTCCCTCTCTTTTTCCCACTTCTGCGCCCACTTCTCCACGCTTTCCCCCTTCCCCTGGGTTCTTCCCCCCCCCCCCGCAGCTGTGACCCCAACCTGGTGAAATACTCGGTGCTTGTGCAGAGCATGGACTGCCAGCTCTGCTCTTCGCATCTTCTGCGATTTTTTCTGACCCACCCCACTTTAACCCCTCACCCTCCATACTCCCCCTCCCAGCTGCGACCCCAACCTGGTGAACTACTCGGTGCTTGTGGAGAGCATGGACTGCCAGCTGGCGCACATCGGCCTGTTTGCCGCCCGAGATGTGAGTCCTCTGGTGTGCTTGTAATGAGCAAGTGTGCTCTGTGGTTTTGTAATTGAGCGTTTGGATATCTCCAGGTGTTACTGATTGGACTAGGTTGGAAGTTTTTTTTTCTAGATGCGCTGCTGTGCTTCTGACAATTGTTACTACTACTTTTGATTTCACTTACCCCCTCTGTTTGCTGTTGATTTCTCTTTCCGTTTGCTGTTCGTTTAACGATCTGTTTGTCATTTTGTTTGCAGATAGCAGCAGGAGAGGAGTTGTCATATGACTATCACTACAGTTTAGTGGATGGTCCGGGTTGCCCCTGCCATTGTGAAGCCAAGAAATGCCGTGGTCGTCTTTATTAGCATGCGTTAGGCAATGTTGTGCGTTTCAATTGGCTATACACATAGGGGAAGTGTTTTGTGATCGGAGCTTGTAAATATGAGTTTTTTTTCTACTTTCGAAATGTATCACTATATAACACTATTCAATGTGACAATGGGTTATAGGTATGTACTTTTTGTAACAGTCCCAAGTCGTAAATCTCCATCTCCCCTTGTCGAGGCATCTCGAACCGGAGCCGCGACAACATCAGTGGATGACTGCTTTGATCTCAAGTTCTTCCTGTGATCATTCGCCGTTTCCTGTTTGCTGATACCTGACTCGTCGCGCTTTAGTTAGGAACTTAGGGTTAGATCCTCTCCTGTAGACTTAGTTAGAACTTATAACCAATAATACCGACAAGTTAGCGCCATTAACTTACTTATCAGGCAGTGAGCATTACGTTGATTGTAAGCTAAGTGTTTTTTTCACCCGGAACCCAGCGTTTTGTTTACTGGGGATCAGAGGGGCTCCGGATGGCGGAGGGCAGTGGCGCGGACGACGATGCGCTGCTGCGGGAGTTCTTCGCTGAGGTCGGCGCGGTGGAGAGGGATAACGAAGTAAACAGGTGCGATGCAGAGCGGTGACGAAACGAGCAGGTACGATGCAGAGTGGTAACGAAACGAGCAGGTCCGATGCAGAGCGGTGACGAGATGCGAAGATGCGAAGCAGGACATCACGGCTGAAGGTTGCCTACATTCCTGGTTATTGCTGGTTTGAGATTAGCCTACTTGCCGGGAATCTTTTATTCAGGAAATTCTGCCTGTTGAGAAATGAAGAAGACCGTAGCATTCTCTCACAGCGTCGAACGAGAGAGAAGTTCCGAGCAAAAAAATAGCAGTGAGAGAATGCTTTTGGCTTCTCAAGTCTCGGACTTTGAGACTTCTCTCGTTCCTGAGCCGTCCCTCAATACCTTCCCTCTCTCCGTCTACCTTCCTTCCCTTCCCCTGTAACACAACCCCCCCTTCTCTCGTTCTCTCACCTTCCTCATGTCCCTCAGGGTCCTGGCATGTTTCAAGCTGAGACCGTTCGAGCAGCTTAACCTGCCGTTCGATGTAGGACTCGAAGAAGCCATACCTCCAACACCTCCCTTTCCCCCCCCTTCTCCCTAACGCTCTTGACACCTCATTCTCTTCCTCATCTTTTCCCCCAGAGTCCTGGCGTGTTTCAAGCTGAATCCGTTCGAGCAGCTGAACCTGCCGTTTGATGCAAAAGTGGAGGACGTGAAGAAGCAGTACCGCAAGGTACGTTTCTTAGGCGCCTCAAAGACTGACGCAAGGTACGAGTGTTGGCTGGCAGCTGTCTTGTCGAGGCACCTCGTTACGATGTCACTAGCTGATTCCGTTCGAGCGGCTGAACCTGCTGTTTGATGCAAAAGTGGAGGACGTGAAGAAGCAGTACCGCAAGTTACGTTTCTTAGGCGCCTCAAAGACTGACGCAAGGTACGAGTGTTAGCTGGCAGCTGTCTTGTTGAGGCACCTCGTTACGATGTCACTAGCTGATTCCGTTCGAGCAGCTGAATCTGTTGTTTGACGCCAAAGTGGAGGACGTCAAGAAGCAGTACCGCAAGGTGAGAATACAGGCTGGCTTGGCTTAAGATGCACGGTACAGTTTTGGTCCCCTTGTTACAATGTCAGCAGCTGAACCTGTTGTTTGACGCCAAAGTGGAGGACGTCAAGTCAAGAAACAGTACCGCAAGGTATGGCTTGCTTGTGGGTTGAATTTGAATTCTGGGTTGACTCAATAAGAGCAGCTGAAATGAACCTGCCATTTGATCCAAAAGTGGAGGACGTTAAAAAGCAGTACCGCAAGGTACGATTTTTGGCTGCCAGCTGGCTTGTGAGGCAACTTCTAGGACAACCTCATCACAACGTCACGCGAAGCACTGTAGCAGGTGCCGTTCTGTATTCCCCTCTGGCTTTCCTTACGCGCATAAAGGATTGCCTCTAGTCTTTTGTGTCCTGATTCTGTGTTTCCATCTAGAATAATGCACTCTCCTATTAACCCATCTCGTCTCCTTGATCCGTCGCTCCACTCTGATCCCTCTCCCAGGTGTCTCTGATGATTCACCCGGACAAGTGCAAGCACCCTCAAGCACGAGAAGCATTCGATGGTGATCATACAAGCTTACCTGCTGTGAAAGCCACACTCTCTCTTGATTGTACACCTGTGTCGCCATCCTTGCATGGTATTCTCGTCCATTGCACGAGTACCGTGTTGACCGCTGCCCCTCTCTGTTGTTCGCACTCCAACTGCCTTTCCACTCTCCCATATCGGTGGTGGCCACAGCACAGAAAGGAATACTTCACATTACACCCTGAGCTCAGACGAATGGAATACCTCACATTACATTCCTTTGTGTCTTCCCATCCGCCCACCCACCTCATTGTCCAATGCCCCTTACTCTTCACATCCTCGTGTCTTCCCATACGCCCACCCACCTGCAGTGGTGGCCAAAGCACAGGAGAAGCTTCTGAGTTCAGACGAATGGGGTTACCTCACATCACAGTTTGCAGCCGCCAAAGGTAAGCTCGGTCGGACGGACCCGACCCCAAACAGCCATGGGCTTCAAGAAGTGAATGTAAGCTTGCTTTGAGACATCTCAGAGCGAGTGGGGCTACCTCACGTCACATGCATGCAGCTGCCAAATGTATGCTCCAACTTTTGAGACGTCTCAAAAGTACTTCACTCACGTCACATGCATGCAGCTGCCAAATGTATGCTCCAACTCGAACTGAAACAGCCATGGGCTTTGGGTGTGAATCGTGATAGTGATTCTTCTTCCACTCTTTCACTCTTCACCCCCCCCCCCCCCCACGCAGCACACCAGAGGACGTGCCGAAGGAGTGCAAGAGGATGCTGAGACGGTTCATTTTTTATTTCTCAACCACCCCACCTTCCTTCCATTTCTGCCATTGATCCCCGCCCCCCATTTCGTCACCGCACACCAGAGGATGTCTTGAGAGAGCGCAAGAGGAGGCTGAAGAAGGAGAGGCAAGGCAAGCCGGCTGCAGACGGGCTGTCTAAAGCAGAGGAGGTACAGTGAGGGGAGGGCCATGGTCTAGGCGCAGAAATTGCTTTGTTAATTGTCAAGTCAGAAGGAGAGGCAAGGCAAGCCGTCAGCAGACGGGCTGTCTAAAGCGGAGGAGTTACGGTGAGAGGAGGGCCATGGTCTAGGCGCAGAAATTGCTTTGTTAATTGTCAACTCAGAAGGAGAGGCAAGGCAAGCTGTCAGCAGACGGGCTGTCTAAAGCGGAGGAGGTGCAGTGAGGGAGGGGAGGTGGTTTAGAGGCAACCCATAAGCAGCACTTTCAGGCCTCACTCGAGTTACAAATTTTGATGTGAGGGAAGGTTTTGACTTAAATCCCCGTCTCCCTGTGCTCGCTCACAGGAAGCGGCCTTCCTGGCATCATCAGAGTTCAAGGAGCAGTGGCGGTTGAAGGCCCGTGAGCTGTCAACACCAGTGCCTCCCTATCTTACTTTTTATCAATCTGCATATCCCTGTGTTCACACACAGGAAGCGGCCTTCCTGGCATCATCAGAGTTCAAGGAGCAGTGGCGGTTGAAGGCCCGTGAGCTTCTCACAGCGAACGAATGGAGGCGAAGAAAACTCTCCAAGCGGGTGCGCATGGTTTTGTTCTTTCACGTTTTCTGAAACATTTCATTCTCCTATTACTTTTTATGTTGTTTTTTTTTCTGAGACCATCTCATTTCTTAAGCACAGTCGGAGTTAAGGCCTTTTGGAAGTTTGTAACCCTTATGCTTGTATGTGGGATGTGGGGAGCAGATAAAGGAAGAGGAGGTGAAGATTCAGCAGGAGGAGGAGGAGACCAAGGAGAAGACGCTCAAGGAGAGGGAGCACACGCAGAAGTGGGAGGAAACCAGAGAGACGAGGGTGAGTGGTGCTAGTGTGGTAATATGAAGCGTTGCACAGGTGCGCTAATAGTAAACACGAGAGACGAGACAAGGCCCTGAGGATGAGTGATGTTGGTGTGCTTTCATGAAGAATGGAAAACATGGTGCAGAGAGGATGTCTCCTGGCCGCTGCTGTCGTTTTCTTTGGGATGATTTTCGGTGCCTTTCCCAATATTTTTAGGTATTATTCTTATCTATGACGTTGGATTTGTTTCTTTTTTACCTCAAATGGTTCGTGCCACCCCTTTGTTCTCCTGTCATTCTCCTCTCATGTTTTTGTTTTGGCCGCATCTGCTCCCATTGCCAGGTCAGCAGCTGGAGAGACTTTCAAAAGAAGGGCAACAAGGTGATCTATGTGCTGTGCTGCACTGCATCAATTTCAACCATGAACTACACTAATGTTGACTCCATTTCACTGGCATTCTGCACTCGTTCATACCTCGCTCGTGGTTGGGCTACAATGCACCTATCGTATATGTGCACTGAGCGAATATGCATTCGCTCAGCCTTTTGCACTGTCGTCTAGTTGAGAAAGCGTGAGCTATTCGTTTTTTGCACTCCCTGGTGCCCATCCTTCCCCCCCCATGACCATCTTTTTGTATACCATTTATGTGTAACCTTGTTTTTGTTCTCGTCCTACACAATCTCGTACCCACAGAAGGCGAAGGGTGAGCTCAAGCCTCCAGCCATGCGAGCCGAAGATCCAAATAAATCATACGTGAGGCGACCTGCGAAGAAAGGATGATACGGTAGAAAGCCGCGTAGCGTGGCTTCTGAAGCCGCGTAAATGTACTGCGATGGCAAGTGGTGATGCCATCACAGTGAATGTAACTTCGTGTACGGTATTCTTATTTTGCTATGAATGCATGCCACTCGTTGCCTAAACCCGCTGTAAGCGTACGAACAGCTTATCCGTGGACTGAAGCGAGTTGAGGTGCGTATCGAATATGTCGTCCCATCTTTTCCGTTGGCCGAGTCGTGTGCATTTTGCGAGCCGTTGATGTTTCGGCTGAGCTGATGCGTCCCCGTCAACAAGGACCATCTGGCGCGAAGCGCGTCAGCTTCGAAAAAGAACATCCTGTCAACCCCCAGGTTCCAAGCACAAGCAGCCGCGGTGAGAAGGGGTGAAAAGTGTTTCGCGGTAGTTGTTTAGGGGTAATTTATAGACCTAGCATAGTCATTGGTCAAGCCTGTGGAACCACCAAAGACGACGGGCAAAACTAAAGCCTTCGTCTGCTGCTGTCTTCATTTGAGGCACAATCAAGCGCAGCGGAATCGAGAGAGCGAACACAATGGTAGTTCTCATCCGAAGACCAGCCAAAATCCATCACTCTTTGCCTTGGCATTTGATACTGTACAACCCCGAACAGCGGCGCTTTATTGTCGTCGGGAGCAGGCAATTGACGTTTTCCTGAAGTGGAACCTCGTTTGGCGCACGGGTAAATGAAAGCAGTCCCGTTTTCTGGCGTTAGACTCAGCCGTTGCGCTTAAAGAACTGTCTGGGCAATCTTCCTGAGAATTTCGCTCTTTGGAGTAAGCGTCAGTCACTCTTTAGTCCATCGTTTACTTACTCGCATGGTGCTGGAAATCAGGTCTCGTTGAGCAGGGTAATAGTTGCATACTACCTTATCAGAACGACGATGGCGATGGAGTATTTACGAAAGCTAGACGACGCGGCCTTCGCGACTCAAGAGATGGACCTGGTTCTGGAGCTGGAGTCGCGAGTCGAGCAGTTAGAGAGCGCAAATAAGGAGCAGGAGAAGGAGATATCCTCTCTAAGAACACAGGTAAGCGTGATCATCATACTGCGGTTATTGCGGTGCGTCTTAGTGCTTCAACGCTCAAATGTTTAGAACTTCCGGGCTAGTCCATTTAGGATATTATACGCAAGTAGTAAAACCTTCTCGTTTATCTATCTTGCTGAGATTCCCCGTTTATTTTTCCGACAGCTCTCTATGACAGAGGAGAGTCTCCAACGCGAAAAGGAGGCGTCAGTACGTCTCTTGCAGCTGCTGCAGCAAGAGCGCGAGGCGCGATCGGCCATGGCGGCGGTGAGGGAGGAGGACCGGGTACTATCGGATGCGGATATGGCGGCGCTGATGCAGAAGAACAAGGAGCTTGAAGACGTGCTCCGGAGATTAGAGGAAGACGTGGAGGCGATTTCGCAGGAAAAAGAATCTCTTATGAAAGACAGAGATGGCATGGCGGTTGAATCCAGGTGATTTAGCTTGCTACAACCCGTTGCATAACGCTGTAGACATCCTCGATAGTAACCTTTCCTGCGTTTCGTTTCAAATGAATTCAAGAACAATACATGTAAATTCTCATGCGTTTCTTACTGTCTCTTTGCAGCTCGTTGTGCGAGCGGCTGGAGGAGGCGGAGGCGGCGAGCGAGATGCTGAAGCGGGAGAACGAGAACCTCGAGGCTGAGCTGGTGGCCGCGCGCAAGTCGCGAGACACGTACTGGAACCACAGCATCGCATTGTACCAAGAAAAGACAAGGTTAGTGAAAACAGGGTACTAATCTGCATCTGCTGTTTGGCCTCACGTTGGTTTAATCTGAGGGCTTTGATGTCCCTCTGAGCATTCGCGAGAATGCGTATAAGGACCGTGTTTGGGTCCATTTCTTCCATACACTTCCTCTATTCTCAGCCGTTCGCCCTCGTTTTCCCAACCACCCCATCGCAGGCTGGAGGAGCAGCTATAATGATGAATAAGATCACCGGCACCGTGTGCGGCCCCCTCTTGTCCTTAACTCCTCTAACTTTTCGCATCCGTCCACCCACGTTTCCCCATCCACCCCATGCCAGGCTGGAGGAGCAGCTCGCGATGATGAATAAAATCACCAGCACCATATTCGGTCCCTTCTTATCCTTGATTCGTCTTCCATTTCTCATCCATTCTCCCTCGTTTCCCCATCAACCCCATCCCAGGTTGGAGGAGCAACTCGCGATGATGAATAAAATCACCAGCACCATGTCGGGTTCGACTGCCAGGCAAAGGGCGGCAGCGCGCCACTCTTTAGCGGGTACAGGAGGAGGCAGCTCAGCCAAGCAGGGCCCAAACAGGGGAACCACACCCACACGCGCTCACGGCCACAACCAGCAGCAACAGCAGCAGCAGCAGTTTCAGAATTACTCAAACCCACTCCAGGCCCACATTTCCCTCACCCCCCCTCCGCCATTCTCGAAAGTGACAGACCCGTTTGAGTTACCAGTAGACTACTCCTACCAGGACGTGCCGTCTACAGCAAACCACCAGTTCCCAGGGGCCCCGGGCGGCCTATGCTTGTCCCCATCCCGGGCTGATAATCCGTCGGTGAGAAGCTTGAATGGGCGGGAAGGCATCTCTGGGAGTAGGATTCCTGGGGCAGGCACGGGAGCAACCGCTGCCGCAGCAGCCGCAGCAGCCGCAGCAGCCACAGCAGCACGGCGGCAGTCGGAAGCTCCTGGTGGGTTCGGTCATTCCTCCGGCAGGCAGCAGCAGCAACAGCAGCAGCAGTCGCCACCGCGGCAGAGGGAGTCGTTCTATCAGGTTAACCCTTCTGCAACAGGAGGAGCTGGAGGTGCTGTATCCCAGCAGCTGCATTTCCAGCAGCAGCAACAACAGTTGCAGCAGCAGCAGCAGCAGCAGCAGCAGGTACACCAGCTGCAGCACACACAGAAGCAGCTAGCGGCACATCCGCCCACCCTCATCCCCTCCCCTGCCTCCTCCGCGCGTCTCAACTCCGAGCGCTCCTCCATCTGCAGCTCCCCGCGGAGCCCTGGAAAAGCAGGCTCGGGGGGAGGCGGGGGAGGGGGAAGAACCGGAAGCGGGGGAGGAGGGGGAGGGGGAGGGGGAGGCGGAGGTGGGGGAGGCGGAGGCGGAGGCGGAGGCGGAGGGGGAGGGGGGAGGAGCAGAGCAGGTGGGCTGGACGGGAGTGGTGAGTACATGGATGAAAACTGCAAGTCTGGAGTATCGTGGGGGAGTGGGGGGAATGACGTGGGGGAGTCAGGAGGGGAGGAGTCCGTGGGGAGTACGAGTATGATTCCGCGGTACAGTGGCAGCAGTAGGCTGCCTGTCCCTGGTGCAGTGAACGGTTGCCGTGCTGGGAGTGGGGGCAAGGTTTGGCGGTAGCGAAGGTCCAGTGGAATAAGCTTTTATACTTGGACTGCCATTGGAGGGGGAAGTCAGGAGGGGCGGAGTGTATGTGGGAGCACCCGTGTGATCTGTTGCAGTATAGTGGCAGCAGTCGGTTGCCTGTCCCTGGTGCAGTGAACAGTTGCCGCGCTGGGAGTGGAGGCAAGGTTTGGCGGTAGCAAGGTTCCAGCAAAATAAGTTTTAATACTTCCACTTTTTGTGGAGGGGGTGAGATTGATGTGGTGGGGTGAGGGTCAGGAGAGGGGAGAGGAGAAATGTGGGGAGCACCAGTGTGATTCCTGCTGCAGTGAACGGTGGCCGTGCTGGGAGTGGATGCAAGGTTTGGCAACAGCAAGGTTCCAGCGAAATTATACATCATACTTTACTGCCCTTGGAGGTTAGGGACTTTATGTGGGAGGAAAAAGAGGGGGGGGGGGGGAGGTAGTGGTGGCAGCAAGTTACTGACTTCTCACACCTGGGATATTGCATTTTTATTATCATTCTAGAGTACAAACAATACTGAGTCGAGCTGGGAGATTGTGCAATGGTGGTGTCTGGGCTGGGGGTGGTGGTGGGGGGAGGGGATATGAACGAAAAGTAACTCGTAAATTACGTGAAACCAATTCACCACCACGGTAGTCACACGTTCGAAGCGTATTGGTGTAAGTATAGTTAGGAAAGGAAGCTATCTCTTTCTCAATACCATGTCAAACGTTTGATGGTTGAGAACAATTGCTGCATACCTTTGACACTAAGCTGAACGCAGCCCCAGCAGGCCTGGAACATTTAAGGTACATATCTACATTGACCTCTAATTCATTCACATGGCATTCGCTATATGAAACCGTGTAGCGAAGTTTGCACACGCGGCCTTTTGGTATTGACGTTTGCACACGCAGCTGTAGGTGGCGATTTTTTAAAATTGGCGGGAAAGCTTCCCTCTGTACGTTCCCCTCAAATCAACGTCATCAATCGCATCGCAACACATCCCGTTCACTAATTGGCCACTGGCCAAGGCTCGTGGTCTGGGCCATTATTGCTTCAGCAGGTCCCTCGCACCGACATCGTCGTGGACGCGGGACGACATCCAAACCGGACTCTCAAATCGCAGACTGAGCTTGGTGCACGTCGTACCAGATGTCCAGACATGGCTTCACTGGCTCGGACGAGCGTAGCCTGTCCCGAACCGAACCAGTGATAGGCACGATGTTCCGGACCAGCTGTCACCTCACCTCCGTCCCTAGCAAATGTCGACTCGAATCGCACGGCACGCCACGCCAAAATTTCTTCACAAGGAAATTCGCGCGCTTCCGTGTTTCCCAATTTCACAACCATCTCCGCCCCACGTCGTATGCTGCTCTCCCCCAAAATTCCATGTGTTGGTGGGAGGAAGAACGATCTGCTCATGCTTCATTCCAATTTACGCCCCCTTGTAGATCACATTACCGTTGCTTGTTTGTTGACTTGACCTGGTCACGTTTCGTGATGCTGCACCTCATTCATGGCTAAATCACTTCCACCACAATTCCACCATCCCACTGCAACAAGTGCAGCTGGTCCCATTTCGGCCCCACCCAGCCCTCACCACATAACATCTGTGCACCGCACCACCATGCCACCGGCTAATAGCTAATGGCCATGTCACGGTTCATCAATTGACGGCTCGCGTCTCGTCCTGCGCTTTAGCCACTTACTTTCCCGCGACTTCTACGATTTGCAACCGGAATCCAGAGAAAAATCCAAAGACGATACATCCATTGGGGACACCGACAGGTTGATAGCGTATCACCGACCCATCTTTTCTCATATTTGCGCTTTCCCACCAACCGCCGCAGCAGCTACAGTCGAGACGACCGTTGTTTTAAAGATCAGGCACTTCCCATCAAACCCTAGCTCCTCGTCTGCTGATCAATACCAGGACTTGTACGTTTCGAGGCCCCTCCCATCACGCCCAAAGATCCTGCGACCTCGTTGCTCTCCTCTGAGCTTTCCCTGCGACCTTGTTGCTATTCCTCAAAGGAAAGCTCAGTCCTCTCACACACCTCGCTACCGCAAGTCCCTCACTCCGAGGAGTCCTCCCCATTTATCTGTTCAAACTGCTAGCAGACCCCGCCAGTCGCGCTATAGAAACGGTTCTCACGCTGAGTTCCTCACTCCTCGCCATCCGCTCAAACTGCTAGCAGACCCGGTCAGTCGCGCTATAGAAACGGTTCCCAAGCTGCACGCTAGTCGACGACGCATCGTAGTTCACGGCTTGGACGCTAGCACTGTCTTTTAGAACGCCTCTCAGTTGAGTATCTTCACGTGCTCCAGCGCATGTATATAGTCGGCTCAATTGTACGTAGCAGCCCTGACACAGGAACTCCGAAAACACAGATTTAAATACATGAATCAGGCGCTCTGGACTTAGAGCTCTCCTTCCGTGGCGCCACGAGCTTACGATACAACTTAACTTCGGTCCAGTGTAGAGGTGTACTAGTAAGAAGGTGTCGACTTGTAGAAGGTTGATACATTCTTGCTCTTCTGAGGATCTTAGCTCCTTTTCAGAGCAAGGTCGAGGCACGGCGATGAGTCGCACGATCGCCTGCTCTCGCACAGCGACGCGGGCGACCGGCGTGCGACGGAACGTGTCGCCGGACGATCCTGCGACATGGTCGGCGACGAGATTGTTGAGGTGTCTGGCCGTCGCCTGCCTGGTGGCATTCGTCGCAGGAGGACTCCCGAGGTCGCAGGCCGGAGGTACGGGATTCGAGGCTGAGGGATTGGGGACTGAGACCGAAACGGGTACAAGTTCCTACTATCATTTACTACTGGCGGCTGTGTAAAGAATATTGATACTATGCGCCAGTTGAATCACGCAACAGACGTAGCATACTCACTGCCGCCTTTTCCGCGCCAACCCTTCCAGCTGTGCGTTCCAAAGCCGCGGCGCCTGTGCGCAATGGCACATAGTGCACCTGACGACCGTTCCGCTCACTCCGCTTCACCCCCGCTCCCCCTCCCTCACTCCCACCTTCCCCACCTCCCTCATCACAGCTACGCGCGCGAAAGCCGCGGCGCCCCTGCGCAAGCAGTACATAGTGCATCTGGCGGCGGTGCCGCCGGTGCTCAACTACCGCGGCGGCGTGGCGGGGCTGGCGGCGACCGCGCCGGAGCTAGACGACAACGACCCCGAGAGCAGCCCCACCGACGCGGACGACGACGATAGCGCACCGGTTGATACTTCAGGTGGCAGTTCAGGTGGCGGTTCGGGTGGCGGTTCGGGTGGCGGCTTGGGTGGCGGTTCAACTGGCGGTTCAGGTGACTCAGGTGGAAATTCAGGTGAAATTCCTGGTGAAGGTGCAGGAACCGGAGCAGGAGGAGGAGGGGGAACGGATCCATCGGAGGTTCCATTTCCAAGTGATGCTACAGCTGGCGGCGCTACAGCCGGTGACGCTACAGCCGGTGGCGCTACAACCGACGACTCTACAACCGGCGACAGCAGTACAACAAATGTCACGCTTGCCGCAGCAGAGATGCTCCAAGGGATCAGCGCGGCTCGACTGGCCACCGTTAGAAGCACATCCGCTGTACCCCCTCGCTTCGGCACAATCACGAAATCGACTTTTGAGGCTCCTCGGAAAGCGATACGGCGGCTTGCGGATCGAATCAAGCGACGCGCGGACGTGCGACGGGCGAACGTGAAATCTTTCGTCAACTTTCTGCGGGATGCGCAACGGCAGTTTTTGCGAAAGAATAACATATCGCCGGCGCAGCTGTTCCAGAGCTACACGTACACGGTCAACGGGTTCGCTGTATCACTGACGGACGCGGAAGCGAAACGGCTGAAGCAGCACCCTGCCGTGGCATGGATCGAAGAAGACAAACCGGTGAGTGAAAGTAGAGATACAAGTCAGTGAAGTGATTGGCTAGGAGGAGATGAGGAAAGAAAGGGGAAAGCGGGGAAGTAGGGGTGAGAGCGGGGGAGAGGGGGAAAGTCAAGAAGGGAGAGAGCGGGGGAGGGGGAAGCGAAAGATAGCTGGCCGGTACTGTGGGGGAAGAGAGCAAGGGTGGAGGAGTCAAAGAAGGGGGAGAGGAAGAGTGGAGAGGGGGACTGGGATGAGGATCAGAAAATGGATAGCAAAAGAATATTACAGAAGCTCACTGCGCTTATAACGGTCAAATATTCTCTCGTTTGCTGCCAGTATATTTTATTTCCTCGCTTTTATCGTGCCTCAATATATTGCGCGCTCACTGTAGTTTCCCAGTACTGACTCTCTTGTTTTCTTTTTCTGGGGCAGGTTCGCGCGCTCACTGTGGACTCGCCGACTTTCTTGAAGTTGCCGACGAGCCTTTGGGCTGAAAATGGGGGGCAGAGCCGCGCGGGCGAGGATGTGATTATAGGCGTGGTGGATTCGGGAATATGGCCGGAACACCCTTCTTTTGCAAACAAGGTAAGCACTGTAGTCCTCGATTTAAATCCTATTGCTGAAGACATTTTTTTTGCAAGTTTGCAACATGAAGTAATCTCCTATCTGTCCTTCTCCTCTCTCCTCTACACATCCTTCCCATCCTCCACCCTCCCTCCGCACCCACCCCTTTTCCCTCCATTAATCCCCTCCCCTTCAACCATTTTCCCCCCTTCTCCCCTTTCCCCCGTTCCTTTTCTCCCATTCTCTCCTCTCCTCTTCCCCATTCCTTTTCCCCCTCCTCCCCCCCCCCCCCCCCCCAGCCATCTGACCCTTCGGCCCAGTCCCGGACCGAAGGTTTGGCGGGTGTGCAGCAACGGCAGGCTTCCCAGCCGCTCTGCTTCGGCAAGCTTATTGGCGCAAATTTCTTCAACCCCCATCATCCTCTCCCTCCCCTTCCCTCCCCTTCTCCCTTGCCCTTCCCCCTCCCCTTCCATTCCCCCTCCCCTTCCCTCCCCTTCTCACGTTCCACCTCCAGCCATCAGACCCCTATGGTCCGGTTCCGGACCGCTGGTTCGGCGGGTGTGCAGCAACGGCGGACTTCCCAGCCTCGCTGTGCAACGGCAAGCTCATCGGTGCAAAATATTTCAACAGCGGGTTCCGCAAATCCGGGCAGAGTGTGGATCCGATCAACGACTTTCCGTCTGCCCGAGATGGCGATGGGCACGGCACGTGGTGTGCAGGGTGAGTGTATTCAAGTGACGCAGTAACACAGTAATGTTTTGAGCCGTTTCGAATCATGTTGTGGAGTGAAGGATAAAAGCAGCCGTTGATGAGTGTAAATTGCGTTCTTTAAGGCAAGGTAAAAAAAAAAAAATCTTATTTTAGCTGCCTGTCTGTTGCCTCATGATAAGTGTGTTGTTTGAGACGTCTCAAAACAACACTTTTATCACGTGGAAAAAATACTTCTTTTAGGTAACTGTCTGTTGCTTCATCTGAACTCAATGCTGCTATCACCCTAATACATTCTCTTCTCCCCTTGCTTTCCGAACCAGAGCGGCAGGGGGCAACGCGAACGTGAGTGTGGAGATGAACGGCCGCAATTAATCTCACTCCTCTCAACCCCCTCTCATCTCTCTTCACCCCTCCCAAACCAATAGAGCGGCAGGGGGCAACGCGAACGTGAGTGTGGAGATGAGCGGCCGTAACTACGGCACAGCGAGCGGCGTGGCACCGCGGGCCCGCGTTGCCATGTACAAGGCGCTGTGGGTGGTCAAGGGCGGCGGCGCGTCAGGCACCAACGCGGACATCCGAGCCGCCGTTGATGCCGCTGTGGCAGATGGCGTGGACGTGCTCTCGCTGTCTCTGGGGGGGTCTGTCCCCCAGTACTTCTCTGACATTCCCTACATGAATGCTGCCAAGGTGAGGCACTGGGGACAATCCCAAGGGCCCAAGGAGGGGGGGGGAGTGTTGACACCGCTGTGGCGGATGGCGTGGACGTGCTCTCGCTCCCCCTGGGGGGGTCTGTTCCCCCGTACTTCTCTGACATTCCCTACATGAATGCTGCCAAGGTGAGGCACTGGGGACAATCCCTACATGAGCGACACGGCCTTGAGCCTCTTGGGTCTTTAGGTTTCTCTGGTCTCTCTGGTCTCTTTGGGAGGGTCGGTTCCCCATCCTGCCCCCATCTCCTTCCCACCCCACCCCACCCCAATCCCACCTCAATCCCACCCCACCCCACCCCACCCCAATCCCACCCCACCCCACCCCACCCCAATCCCACCCCACCCCACCCCACCCAACCCCACTCCACTCCTCTCAATTCCCAATATGCTGGCAGGCGGGGGTGTTTGTGACGCTGGCAGCAGGCAACTCAGGCCCACCCTCCCCCATGTGCAATCCCCTTCTTACCCCTTCCCACCCCACCCCACCCCACCCCACCCCACTCCACCCCTGGCAATGCTGGCAGGCGGGGGTGTTTGTGACGCTGGCAGCAGGCAACTCGGGGCCGCCCTCTCCCATGCGCGTGCTGGGCACACTCAGCAACGCGGCTCCGTGGTACCTGACCGTCGGTGCAACGTAAGTCTCTTTTTCCACTAACGTGCGCTGATAACAGAATAGGTGTGCTGGGTGTGCTGAGTGTGCTGAACGTAACACCATGCGCGTGCTGGGGACGCTCAGCAACGCGGCTCCGTGTGGTACCTGACCGTCGGTGCAACGTAAGTTGACTTATGTGTGCGCAGAAGGTGATTAATATGTGTGCTGGGTGTGCCGAACTGAACGTAACACGCTCAGTAACCCCTTGACTTCTGAGGGCGCTCAGTTGACTTCTGAGGGCGCTCAGTTGACTTCTGAGGGCGCTCAGTAACGCGGCTCCGTGTGGTACCTGACCGTCAGTGCAACGTAAGTTGAGAGGGACACTCGTTGAAAAGATGCGCTTATGTGTGCTGAAAGAAACAGCTGGTGGGATGGGAAAGGCGTGCAGGGGGACACACTTTGAGGGAAGGAAGGAAATGTTTTGATGAAAGTCCTAGCCACACACTACATGCTGGGCACGCTAAGTCCCTTCCCTCGTCCGTCCCTGTGAAAGAAGAGTGTCTCAGCCACTCACTGTGAGACGTCTCAAAAACGCAATCTTCGATGAAAGTCCCAGCCACACACTGCATGCTGGGTGTGATGAGACGAATTTTGAGTCGACGCAAATGTTTTGATGAAAGTCCTAGCCACACACTGCATGCTGGGAACGCTGAGTCCCTTCCCTCGTCCTCCCTCCGCTCGTTCCTCTCTCCCCTCCCGCAGCACGATTGGCCGGCAGTACTATGCAACGCTGAGCCTTGGGAACGGAGTGGAGCTGAGGGGAGTGAGCTTCGGAGGCAACGCACAGACAGCCAGGCAGCAAGTCTCACCCCAGTTACTCCCTCTCTGCACCACTCCCTCCCCACGTCCCTCCCTCCCTACGTCCCTCCCTCCCCGCGTCCCTCTCTCTCCCCTCCCGCAGCACGATTGGCCGGCAGTACTATGCAACGCTGAGCCTTGGGAACGGAGTGGAGCTGAGGGGAGTGAGCTTCGGAGGCAACGCACAGACGGTCAATAAAGTGCTACTGCCCGCTTCCGCTGCTGTCAAGCCTGGCGCCTCTGCCTCCGATGTGAGTCACACGCCTCTTGGCACAATACATGTGCTTATCACATGTGCGTATCACATGTGCTTATCACATGTGCGTATCACATGTGCATACCACATGAGTCGACTCAATGGTGCTGCTGCCCGGCTTCTGCTGCGGTCAGGGCTGGCGCCTCTGCCTCTGATGTGAGTCCTGTGCACTTCTCACCAACTGGGCTGTCCTTGTCACATGTGCATTTATCACAAGGTGACTTTTGGGTCGACTCAAAGGTCACTAAAGTGCTGCTGCCCGCTTCTGCTGCTGTCAGGGCTGGCGCCTCTGCCTCTGATGTGAGTCCTGCGCACTTCTTACCAACTGTGCTCATTACATGCCCTTACCATGTCTCCTTGTCCTTATTACCGTGTTGCCTGTTTCCTTTCCCCCTCTGACGTTCTGCCAGGCTGCTCTATGTGACATCACTGCTATCGACAAATCCAAGTTGGCGGGGCGAATCATTGTGTGCACATTCCAACCATCGGCCTCCAAGTCTGCAGGCATTCCCATCAGCACCCTAGCTGCTTACAAGGCAGCAGCTCTTGTCGTCCTTAGTGGCTCACCCAATACAGACAGCATGCCCATGCTTCCTTTCACTGACCTGCCACTCCTCTACCTGACCAACGCTCAGGGCGGGCAGGTGAAAAACTACCTGCAGCAGACGGCCAATCCCGTGGCGACACTTGGCGAATACGCCACCACGAATTCATCCAACGCTCCCCAAATGGCCGTTTTCTCTTCCACTGGTCCAACCATAAACCCATCCCTCTTCCCGATCCCGTCTTTCCTCCCAACCAACGACATCTTAAAGCCGGACATCGTTGGTCCGGGATTCCAGCTCTGGTCGTCTTACCGAGGCAAGAGCGCAGCTTCGGCAACCACCGACCCTCCCATGTTCAACTGCATTTCTGGTACATCCATGGCTACACCACATCTTGCCGGCATCGCGGCATTACTAATCCAGAAGAATCCAGGCTGGACGCCCGCCCAGGTCATGTCAGCAATGATGACTACAGCATCTACAGTGAATAATGCCGGCCAGCCAATCAAACGGGCGAATGGGGACGTCGCCACCCCGTGGGATTACGGCTCGGGGCAGGTCGACCCGTCGAGGATTTTAAACCCTGGGTTGACTTTAACCTCTGGGTTTAACGATTATGTGAATTTCCTCGCGAGCAGGAATTTCCAGCAGACGAAGCATGCTTTTCCGGGGCTGAAGGGGATTCGGGCGCGCAAGCCATGGAATCTCAACCGTCCAACGATCTCGATCTCACGGCTGTCGGTCCGCGGGAGGAAGATTGTGCGCACGGTTCGGAACGTGTTTGACCAGCCGTCGACGTACACTGTGAAGGTTCGGGTGCCGTCGGACGTGCAGGTTCGGGTGACCCCGAGCCAGTTTACGATTGGTCCGGGAGAGGTGCAGCGAATCACGGTGGTGTTCAAGGCAAAGAAGATTGCGCGTAAGTTTCTGTTTGGGTCGGTTAGGCTGGTGGATGAGCACGGGCATGCAGTGAATATGCCAATTGCACTGCGTACAGTGTTACTCTGAATGCTGGGTGCGGTGCTGCTGGTGCTTGAGGTGTATGGTGCAGTGCAGTGGAGACAGTGCAGCAGAAGGGAAGGAGTGGTAGGCTGGCAGCCTTGTTGGGTGGTGGAAGGAGCATGTGGTAGACATTCCAGCGCAAGGTGGAAGTATGAAGCTGGGGAAGTGGAGGTGGTAAGGAAATGCTGGTCCAAAGTGCGCTGAATAAGGTGATGGGATCTAGATGGTGGAGGACCTGGAATCCAGGGTACTTTTGCCATCTCCATGTGCAATTAGCACCCCTTTATACGTAACTTTTGAAGCTTCTTGTACTGCCTATTTGTAAGGTACATGTTTATATTGAATCACAATGGAATTAGAGGGTGAAAAGGAATTGAATGGAATTTATGAAAGTACTTTCTGATTGTGTTTGTTTAATTTCTTTTGTGAAGTTTTGATGAACGATGACAGATATTCTGGGTCAGGGCTGGATATCCATGGCTCGTGCGAACCCTGGCGATGAATACATCTCGCTTGTCAGATTGACCCAACTCAAAACTCCACGAGACTCTTCTCCTGATAGTCATGTTACCACGTCATTTCGCTTTCGTCGGTCGGCAGCAATCAGTGTTCGCCCAAGCGTCGGTGGATTTTCGTGCGGTTCGCGTCCCACGTCCCTCCTTCCCCAAGCCAACCTTGGTGCGAGCGGCACCGCCACTGTAAATGTCTTCGGGTTCTAGGGCGCCCAGAAATTCGCCCCAAATCCACCTCCCCTCCCCAATAAAAGCAGCATCGCACAACTTCACAAGAAACACAGAGCAGGAACAGAAAAGCTAAACCAAGTAGCACCGACAGTGCGACACACACCCAAAACTGAAATCCATTCTCGTCTTGAGAGAGAATCCAGCTCGGCAGAACAGGTAGTATCGTCGCACGGTCACTCACTCATCCGTATCGTCTCTAACATTGCAACATAGTTACGGCGATAAGTGGAATCCCGATTATGTTTACCTTGAAATCCCGCCATTGACAGTCTCGCGTATTCAGCAGGCAAAAACCCATTGGATTCAGACATGCAGCTCCTGTTGCCACATCGCGACTCCCAGATGCTGCCTCGCGACTGTTCTTCGCGATGAACTGAACAAATCGTCGGTAGATCCAAGCTGATACTGACCGCGATGTCTTGTCGCCACGTCGCAAGTCCCAGATGGCTGCCGCATCGCGACTGCTCTTCGCGATCAACAGAACGAATTGCCTGTAAATCCAACCGGATATCGAGCGCGATGTCCCGTCGCCACGTCGTGGTGCCCAGGCGGCTGCTTCGCGTCCCTCAGCTGCTCGTAATCTGCCTCGTAATACTCCAACGAACACCTTGGAATTTCGCTGCGGACCGATCCCAAGGTATAGGGGTAATTGAACAGCACAAAGAGCCTTTTCGCCTAGTTTCCGGATATTATCTTTGTAATTCTTCCTTTGCCCCTGTGGCTCCCAAATCAGCCTTTCGGTTTGGCTCGATTCACCATCCCGGGTTGGTACGATCATCCTGCCGGGTGTTTCTCTTGTATACTTTCCCTCCGATTTCACCCATCTCACTGCATCACCATCCGCCCTTTTCTTAAAATTTGACGCGCTTCAAAACCATTCACCCATCTCACAGGATCATCATCCGCCCCTTCCGCCCACTCCCACACAGGGGCAGGATCAGGTGGAGTAAGAGCAGCAGCAGCAGTAGCAGCAGGAGGAGGGGGAGGAGGAGACGCAGCAGCAGCAGCAGGGGGCGGCATTCGACGAGGGTACCTGGTGTATCTGCGAAATGCTCCTCCCGTTCTCAACTACCACGGCGGAATCCCGGGGATTCCCGCGACCGCTCCGCCAGACGATGATAGCAGCGTAGACGAAATCGACGACACAGTTAGCGACGTTAGCGATGGTAACCGAGAACCTGCAACAGATTCTTCTGTCGCTGGTGAAACTGACTCTGCGACGAGAGAGGAGAGTGCAACGGCGGGAAGAGATTTGCGCGGAGGGTTGGATGAATCTCTAGCGCAGCCACGGTGGTTGAGAGGGGCGAGAGGAGGTTCTGTGATAAATCGTCTCGTGGGTCGCTTTCGACCGAGGCGGCCAGATGTTCGCGCGCCTAACGTGCGAGCTTTCGTCCGGTTCTTGCGAAATTCGCAGCGAAGGCTGTTAGCGGATAGTCGGATTCCCGCTTCTGCGTTGTTGCACAGTTACACTTATACGCTTAACGGGCTTGCTGTATCGCTGACAGAAGCGGAGGCACGTCGGCTCAAGCGGCATCCCGCGGTTGCTTCTGTGGAGGGGGACCGAGTGGTAAGTACGCCAGGTTGTCTTCACCAATGAGAAGAAAGAAGTATTGCTTCTGGAAAGGACTAATTCATTGTTTGCATGTATCATTATTCTCATTTACTCTTTTTTTATTTTTTTTTATTTTTTCCGTTCGGCAGGTTCGTATCCTCACTGTGGATTCGCCAACTTTTCTGAAGCTGCCCGACAGCTTGTGGGAAGCAAATGGCGGGCAGAGTCGGGCAGGCGAGGATGTGATTATAGGCGTGGTGGACTCGGGGATATGGCCGGAACACCCTTCATTTGCAGATGATGTTAGTGCAACATGACCGTAGATTGCTTTGGGCACGTTTGCAATATCGTTTATGGCTTGTAACCCTCATCTGATGCTCACTCCTCTGCTCCTGTTTCCCTTCCTCTCCATCCGCAACCAACCAAGTTCCATTCACCTATTCCCCCACCCACCCACTGCCCCCCTCACCCACCCCACCCCCCATTCCCCCACTCTCCCACTCACTCACTCATCCCCTCTACCAACTTCCCCCTTTCCAACCCGTGTTTCCTCCTCCCTCCTCAACCTATGACCCTCCCGCTTCCTCTCCCGCACCTGCCATCCCCCCCACAGCCATCAGACCCGTACGACCCACCCCCAAGCAACTGGCTGGGAGGGTGCACAGCGACAGAGGATTTACCCGAAGCAGCATGTAGCGGCAAGCTAGTGTGGGCGCGCCATGTTGTCCCATGGCTGCAGGTCAATCAAGGCAGCATTGGCAGCACGGATTCCTTTGAGCTGTCTCCCCCCCCCCCTCTTCTTTTTTACAACCTTTCCCTCTCAACCCCTGTTTCCCCCCTCTCCCTCCCTCGGTCCTCCCATCTCCCCCGGCCATCAGACCCGTACGGCCCACCCCCTTCTGGTTGGCGGGGAGGGTGCACAGTAACAGAGGACTTCCCCGAAGCAGTGTGCAACGGAAAGCTGGTGGGGGCGCGCTTGACCTGACTCCATCCTTTCCCCCTTCCCCCTCCCTCCGTCCTCCCATCTCCCCCTGCCATCAGACCCGTACGGCCCACCGCCGACTAACTGGCGGGGAGGCTGCACAGTAGCAGATGATTTCCCCGAAGCTGCGTGCAATGGGAAGCTGGTGGGGGCGCGCTACTCTGTGGCTGGGCTGCTGATCCACTAAACTGAACCCTGCCCCTCGTCCAACCCCCTCCCCTGTTTCGCCCCCTGTTGCCACCCTCCTCCCCTCCCATCCAGCCATCGGACCCGTACGGTCCGGCCCCTTCTGGTTGGCGGGGCGGGTGTACAGTAACGGACGATTTTCCCGAGGCAGCGTGTAATGGGAAGCTGGTGGGGTCGCGCTACTTTGTGGCGGGGCTGCTGGCCAATCAGGGCAGCGTTTCCGAGTCCCTGGATTTCATGTCTCCCCGGGATGGGAATGGGCATGGCTCGTGGTGTGCAGGGTGAGTGATAGTTTGGCACTGCGGTATGGTCTAGTACGGTACGGTACGGTGTGGTATCATGTGCTGGCCAACCAGGGCAGCAGTGCAGGATCGATAGATTTCATGTCGCCCCGGAATGGCAGCGGGCGGGTGGCATGGCTCGTGGTGTGCAGGGTGAATCTCAATCCAGGCAGCAGGAGTTAACAACCCTCACATCCCCCAAGTTTTGAGGCGCCTCAAAACTAGCAGGAAGTAAACAACCCTCACATCCCCCTAGTTTTGAGGCGCCTCAAAACTAGCAGGAAGTAAACAGCCCTCACATCCGCCTCCACGTATATACTCTTTCTCTTTCTACTCTTCCCCTCAAACGTCATCAGGGCGGCAGCAGGTAAAGCCAACGTGAGTGTGGAGATGGGCGGCTGAAGCTACGGATCAGCGAGTGGTGGGGCGCCGCAGGCGCGCATCGCCATGTACAATTTGCTCTGGTCCTTACCCATAAAACTCTCGTGTGTATCCTCTCCCCCTCCTCCCCCTCCCTACGCAGAGCGGCAGCAGGCAACGCGAATGTGAGTGTGGAGATGCATGGCCGCAGCTACGGAGCAGCGAGCGGAGTGGCACCGCGCGCGCGCATTGCCATGTACAAGGCGCTCTGGCGCATGCAGGATGGCGGGGCGGCCGGCATGGACTCGGATATCTGGGCGGCGGTGGATACTGCCGTGGCGGACGGCGTGGATGTGCTGTCACTGTCGCTGGGAGGGAGCATTCCGAATTACTTCTCCGATATTGCCTACCTGAACGCAGTCAAGGTGAGATGGTGTGGTGTTACAGGGGAAAGGGGAAGAAGGAGGGGGTAGGGGGAGGGCGGGCAGTGGACACTGCTGTGGCAGACGGAGTGGATGTGCTACCGTTGTCGCGGGGAGGAAGCGTGCCAAACTATTTGTCCGGTATTGCTTATCTGAATGCTGCCAAGGTAACTTCTGGGTCCTGTGTTGCCAAGAAAAGACTAAAGTGATGATTACTGGGTGTCTCTCCGGTGTCCTGCATCTGCTGCCTCTCCATCCCCGTAGCTCTGGTAGCTCGCTATTCACCCTACTGCACTCCCCCAGTTGGCGTAAGGCTGATAACTACAAAACGAAACAAGACGAGCTCTACAAAATCGTATGACACACGCTCTCCAATGCTCTGCCCAATCACTCCCTTCCGCACTTCAGGCTGGGGTGGGGTGTTTGTGGCGATGGCAGCGGGAAACTCAGGCGCACTTCTGAGTCGACTCAGAAGGAAACTCAGGCTCACCTTTTTGAAGCGCCTCAAAAATCGCCACACACCCCTCTGATTCTGCTCTGCCCTGCCCCCCTTCATTCGCTTCCTTACCTCAGGCCGGGGTGTTTGTGGCGCTAGCAGCAGGAAACTCCGGCGAACCTTTTTGAAGCGCCTCAGAAATCGCCACACACCCCTCTGATGCTGCTCTGCCCTGCCCCCTTTATTCCCTTGTGCACCTCAGGCCGGGGTATTTGTGGCGAGGGCAGCAGGAAACTCCGGTGCACCTTCCTCCTCCTAGTGTTGAGTCGGCTCAACACCCCCCTGTCACACACCCCTCCAATGCTCTGTTCCTTCTTTCCCTTCGGTATCTCAGGCCGGGGTGTTTGTGGCGATGGCAGCAGGAAATTCCGGTGCACCTTCTTCCACCAAGGCGGTGGGCACCATAAGCAACGCGTCGCCGTGGTATCTCACCGTTGGCGCCAGGTGAGGCACCTTCCCCCAACACCCACGGCTCACCTTGACCGGCACACTGCAATGTGAAGGTGGCCCCCACTTCGCCCACCCCCTCATTTCAATGCGTCTCCCACCTCCTCCAATCCAAGGCTGTGGGCACCATAAGCAACGCGTCGCCGTGGTATCTCACCGTTGGCGCCAGGTGAACCGGCTTTCCTCAACCCCCCTGCACCATTAATGATTACTCTACATATACCCTTGCGAGTCTTGATACCATAGGTTTGATCATTGTTACTGCTGTTTACTACTCTTTCTGTTATGCATTATTGCCTTTTTGTTTTTGTTTTTTTGTTATGGTTATTAGAAACCACGAACAACCTGGCAAGTTTCCACCACCCCTCGTTTTCCCCCCTTGTGGCAGCACCATGGGTCGAGACTTCATGGCAAACCTCACTCCCACTGCTTTTCCTTCCCACCATGACCACCACTACATTTCAGACGTCTCAAAAGTCCCTTCTTCCACCACCCGTGCTCTCCCCCGCACTGTGGCAGCACCATGGGTCGAGACTTCATGGCAAACCTCACTCTCACCGCTCTTCCCGCCACCACCACCACCACCACCACCGCTACAACCGCTGCCGCCTCTTCTGCCGCGCCTGCCCCTGCCTCTGCTCCTGCCCCTGCTGCTGCCCCTGCTCCTGCTTCTGCTCCTGCCCCCGCCTCTGCTTCTGCTCCTGCCGCTGGTGCTGCCCCTGCCTCCACCTCTACTGCTTCTGCTGCTGCTACCTCTGCTGCTGACTCTGCCAGCTCATTGGCCGAGATTTCTTGGGCAGAGAGTTTTCTGACTGAGAATTCTTCAAGCGAAAACCCTTCAGCTGCAGCACCGGCAGCATCGGAGGAGGCTTGGAGGGAAGTACTTGTTTTATCAGGGTGGAGCTTTGGAGGCACTCCCCTCACAGTAGACCTGCCGGTTCTAGATGCCAGGGATGCTGCTGCCAATGGTGCCAGTCAATCGCTGGTGAGTGCTGGGTATGGACTTGGGTGTGGAGTCTGAGTGGCATCTCTCACCCTCAACACGCTCCTTCTATGCCCACTCTCCTCTCGCCCGCTCTCCTCTCGCCCGCTCTCCTCTCGCCCGCTCTCCTCTCGCCCGCTCTCCTCTCGCCCGCTCTCCTCTCGCCCGCTCTCCTCTCGCCCGCTCTCCTCTCGCCCGCTCTCCTCTCGCCCGCTCTCCTCTCGCCCGCTCTCCTCTCGCCCGCTCTCCTCTCGCCCGCTCTCCTCTCGCCCGCTCTCCTCTCGCCCGCTCTCCTCTCGCCCGCTCTCCTCTCGCCCGCTCTCCTCTCGCCCGCTCTCCTCTCGCCCGCTCTCCTCTCGCCCGCTCTCCTCTCGCCCGCTCTCCTCTCGCCCGCTCTCCTCTCGCCCGCTCTCCTCTCGCCCGCTCTCCTCTCGCCCGCTCTCCTCTCGCCCGCTCTCCTCTCGCCCGCTCTCCTCTCGCCCGCTCTCCTCTCGCCCGCTCTCCTCTCGCCCGCTCTCCTCTCGCCCGCTCTCCTCTCGCCCGCTCTCCTCTCGCCCGCTCTCCTCTCGCCCGCTCTCCTCTCGCCCGCTCTCCTCTCGCCCGCTCTCCTCTCGCCCGCTCTCCTCTCGCCCGCTCTCCTCTCGCCCGCTCTCCTCTCGCCCGCTCTCCTCTCGCCCGCTCTCCTCTCGCCCGCTCTCCTCTCGCCCGCTCTCCTCTCGCCCGCTCTCCTCTCGCCCGCTCTCCTCTCGCCCGCTCTCCTCTCGCCCGCTCTCCTCTCGCCCGCTCTCCTCTCGCCCGCTCTCCTCTCGCCCGCTCTCCTCTCGCCCGCTCTCCTCTCGCCCGCTCTCCTCTCGCCCGCTCTCCTCTCGCCCGCTCTCCTCTCGCCCGCTCTCCTCTCGCCCGCTCTCCTCTCGCCCGCTCTCCTCTCGCCCGCTCTCCTCTCGCCCGCTCTCCTCTCGCCCGCTCTCCTCTCGCCCGCTCTCCTCTCGCCCGCTCTCCTCTCGCCCGCTCTCCTCTCGCCCGCTCTCCTCTCGCCCGCTCTCCTCTCGCCCGCTCTCCTCTCGCCCGCTCTCCTCTCGCCCGCTCTCCTCTCGCCCGCTCTCCTCTCGCCCGCTCTCCTCTCGCCCGCTCTCCTCTCGCCCGCTCTCCTCTCGCCCGCTCTCCTCTCGCCCGCTCTCCTCTCGCCCGCTCTCCTCTCGCCCGCTCTCCTCTCGCCCGCTCTCCTCTCGCCCGCTCTCCTCTCGCCCGCTCTCCTCTCGCCCGCTCTCCTCTCGCCCGCTCTCCTCTCGCCCGCTCTCCTCTCGCCCGCTCTCCTCTCGCCCGCTCTCCTCTCGCCCGCTCTCCTCTCGCCCGCTCTCCTCTCGCCCGCTCTCCTCTCGCCCGCTCTCCTCTCGCCCGCTCTCCTCTCGCCCGCTCTCCTCTCGCCCGCTCTCCTCTCGCCCGCTCTCCTCTCGCCCGCTCTCCTCTCGCCCGCTCTCCTCTCGCCCGCTCTCCTCTCGCCCGCTCTCCTCTCGCCCGCTCTCCTCTCGCCCGCTCTCCTCTCGCCCGCTCTCCTCTCGCCCGCTCTCCTCTCGCCCGCTCTCCTCTCGCCCGCTCTCCTCTCGCCCGCTCTCCTCTCGCCCGCTCTCCTCTCGCCCGCTCTCCTCTCGCCCGCTCTCCTCTCGCCCGCTCTCCTCTCGCCCGCTCTCCTCTCGCCCGCTCTCCTCTCGCCCGCTCTCCTCTCGCCCGCTCTCCTCTCGCCCGCTCTCCTCTCGCCCGCTCTCCTCTCGCCCGCTCTCCTCTCGCCCGCTCTCCTCTCGCCCGCTCTCCTCTCGCCCGCTCTCCTCTCGCCCGCTCTCCTCTCGCCCGCTCTCCTCTCGCCCGCTCTCCTCTCGCCCGCTCTCCTCTCGCCCGCTCTCCTCTCGCCCGCTCTCCTCTCGCCCGCTCTCCTCTCGCCCGCTCTCCTCTCGCCCGCTCTCCTCTCGCCCGCTCTCCTCTCGCCCGCTCTCCTCTCGCCCGCTCTCCTCTCGCCCGCTCTCCTCTCGCCCGCTCTCCTCTCGCCCGCTCTCCTCTCGCCCGCTCTCCTCTCGCCCGCTCTCCTCTCGCCCGCTCTCCTCTCGCCCGCTCTCCTCTCGCCCGCTCTCCTCTCGCCCGCTCTCCTCTCGCCCGCTCTCCTCTCGCCCGCTCTCCTCTCGCCCGCTCTCCTCTCGCCCGCTCTCCTCTCGCCCGCTCTCCTCTCGCCCGCTCTCCTCTCGCCCGCTCTCCTCTCGCCCGCTCTCCTCTCGCCCGCTCTCCTCTCGCCCGCTCTCCTCTCGCCCGCTCTCCTCTCGCCCGCTCTCCTCTCGCCCGCTCTCCTCTCGCCCGCTCTCCTCTCGCCCGCTCTCCTCTCGCCCGCTCTCCTCTCGCCCGCTCTCCTCTCGCCCGCTCTCCTCTCGCCCGCTCTCCTCTCGCCCGCTCTCCTCTCGCCCGCTCTCCTCTCGCCCGCTCTCCTCTCGCCCGCTCTCCTCTCGCCCGCTCTCCTCTCGCCCGCTCTCCTCTCGCCCGCTCTCCTCTCGCCCGCTCTCCTCTCGCCCGCTCTCCTCTCGCCCGCTCTCCTCTCGCCCGCTCTCCTCTCGCCCGCTCTCCTCTCGCCCGCTCTCCTCTCGCCCGCTCTCCTCTCGCCCGCTCTCCTCTCGCCCGCTCTCCTCTCGCCCGCTCTCCTCTCGCCCGCTCTCCTCTCGCCCGCTCTCCTCTCGCCCGCTCTCCTCTCGCCCGCTCTCCTCTCGCCCGCTCTCCTCTCGCCCGCTCTCCTCTCGCCCGCTCTCCTCTCGCCCGCTCTCCTCTCGCCCGCTCTCCTCTCGCCCGCTCTCCTCTCGCCCGCTCTCCTCTCGCCCGCTCTCCTCTCGCCCGCTCTCCTCTCGCCCGCTCTCCTCTCGCCCGCTCTCCTCTCGCCCGCTCTCCTCTCGCCCGCTCTCCTCTCGCCCGCTCTCCTCTCGCCCGCTCTCCTCTCGCCCGCTCTCCTCTCGCCCGCTCTCCTCTCGCCCGCTCTCCTCTCGCCCGCTCTCCTCTCGCCCGCTCTCCTCTCGCCCGCTCTCCTCTCGCCCGCTCTCCTCTCGCCCGCTCTCCTCTCGCCCGCTCTCCTCTCGCCCGCTCTCCTCTCGCCCGCTCTCCTCTCGCCCGCTCTCCTCTCGCCCGCTCTCCTCTCGCCCGCTCTCCTCTCGCCCGCTCTCCTCTCGCCCGCTCTCCTCTCGCCCGCTCTCCTCTCGCCCGCTCTCCTCTCGCCCGCTCTCCTCTCGCCCGCTCTCCTCTCGCCCGCTCTCCTCTCGCCCGCTCTCCTCTCGCCCGCTCTCCTCTCGCCCCTCTCGCCCGCTCTCCTCTCTCGCCCGCTCTCCTCTCGCCCGCTCTCCTCTCGCCCGCTCTCCTCTCGCCCGCTCTCCTCTCGCCCGCTCTCCTCTCGCCCGCTCTCCTCTCGCCCGCTCTCCTCTCGCCCGCTCTCCTCTCGCCCGCTCTCCTCTCGCCCCGCTCTCTCTCTCGCCCGCTCTCCTCTCGCCCGCTCTCCTCTCGCCCGCTCTCCTCTCGCCCGCTCTCCTCTCGCCCGCTCTCCTCTCGCCCGCTCTCCTCTCGCCCGCTCTCCTCTCGCCCGCTCTCCTCTCGCCCGCTCTCCTCTCGCCCGCTCTCCTCTCGCCCGCTCTCCTCTCGCCGCTCTCCTCCGCCCGCTCTCCTCTCGCCCGCTCTCCTCTCGCCCGCTCTCCTCATCGCCCGCTCTCCTCTCGCCCGCTCTCCTCTCGCCCGCTCTCCTCTCGCCCGCTCTCCTCTCGCCCGCTCTCCTCTCGCCCAGCTCTCCTCTCGCCCGCTCTCCTCTCGCCCGCTCTCCTCTCGCCCGCTCTCCTCTCGCCCGCCTCTCCTCTCGGCCCGCTCTCCTCTCGCCCGCCTCTCCTCTCGCCCGCTCTCCCTCTCGCCCGCTCTCCTCTCGCCCGCTCTCCTCTCGGCCCGCTCTCTCTCGCCCGCTCTCCTCTCGCCCCGCTCTCCTCTCGCCCGCTCTCCTCTCGCCCGCTCTCCCTCTCGCCCGCTCTCCTCTCGCCCGCTCTCTCTCGCCCGCTCTCCTCTCGCCCGCTCTCCTCTCGCCCCGCTCTCCTCTCGCCCGCTCTCCCTCTCGCCCGCTCTCCTCTCGCCCGCTCTCCTCTCGCCCGCTCTCCTCTCGCCCGCTTCCTCTCGCCCGCTCTTCCTCTCGCCCCGCTCTCCTCTCGCCCGCTCTCCTCTCGCCCGCTCTCCTCCTCGCCCGCTCTCCTCTCGCCCGCTCTCCTCTCGCCCGCTCTCCTCTCGCCCGCTCTCCTCTCGCCCGCTCTCCTCTCGCCCGCTCTCCTCTCGCCCCGCTCTCCTCTCGCCCGCTCTCCTCTCGCCCGCTCTCCTCTCGCCCGCTCTCCCTCTCGCCCCGCTCTCCTCTCGCCCGCTCTCCTCTCGCCCGCTCTCCTCTCGCCCGCTCTCCTCTCGCCCGCTCTCCTCTCGCCCGCTCTCCTCTCGCCCGCTCACCGACGTGCTCCTGGTTGCCTCGAAACTTTGCCCAGCCGCTCTGGTGTTGCTTCTGGGAGCTAATGTAATGACACACCCCTGTACTCACTCACTCACACCTCCCCCCCCCCCCCCCCCTCTTCCCTTCCATAACAGGCCAGCCAGTGCCATGCTCCCAGCATCAACGCCTCCCGCACTCTCAACACCCTCCTCCTCTGCTCTCACTCCACTCGCCCTCTCACTGACGTGCTCCTGGACGCGTCCACCCTTCGACCAGCTGCCCTCGTGCTGCTCGGGGCTACCGACTCAACCCCCCGCCTGCCCTACACGCGCATGCCTGTGATTTACCTCAAGGCTTCTGACGCCACTGCTCTCAGGACCTTCCTCGCCAGTACCACCAGGTATGTTGTCCCCTCTCTTCCCCTCCTCCTGCCCTACCTACACGCGCCTGCCCTACACGCGCCTGCCCTACACGCGCCTGCCCTACACGCGCATGCCTGTGATTTACCTCAAGGCTTCTGACGCTTCTGCTCTCAGGACCTTCCTGGGAAGCATCACCAGGTACGGCACATTCCCGTCGGTTATCTCTCCTCTGCCCTCCCTCTCCTCTCTCCTCCTCTGCACTCTCTCCTCCTGACGTGCTACTGGACGCCTCCACCCTTCGCCCAGCAGCTCTGGTGCATGCCGCTCGTCTATCTCAATTCCTCTGATGCTCTCAGGACCTTCCTAGCCAGCTGTAGAAAGAACTTTTTTTAGACGTCTCAAAAATGTTCTTTCTACACGTCGCCCAGCAGCTCTGGTGCATGCCGGTCGTCTATCTCAATTCCTCTGATGCCTCTGCTCTCAGGACCTTCCTAGCCAGCTCCACCAGGTATGTTGTCCCCTCTCCTCCCTTCCTCCGCCTGCCCTTTTTGCGGTGCCTCAAAATTCCCCTTTCTTCTCCTCTGCCTGCCCTACACGCACCAGCCCTACACCTTGTCCTCCTCCCCAGCCCCTGCTCTCTCCTCTTTCTCCTCCACCAACCCCCCAGTCAACCCCACCACATCCACCAACCTCCCTCCCACTATTTGTTTCCATTCACCCCTTCGTTTTTCTTTCATTTTTTTTCCTTCCCCGCCACAACCCCAGCCACCAGGCATCACTATCCCAGCCCTACACCTCCTCCACCTCCCCAGCTCCAGCCATTGCCTCTTTCTCCTCCACAGGTCCCCCAGTCAACCCCACCACCCCCTCCTCCTCCCTCCCTCCCTACCTCCCAACCAACGACATCCTCAAACCTGACATCGTAGGCCCGGGTTACCAGCTCTGGGCGGCCTACCGGGGCTCCAGCGCAGGCTCGGGAGGAGCAGCCTCGGGCCCGCCCTCGTTCGGGCTGCTCTCGGGAACATCCATGTCTACACCTCAGCTCGCGGGAATCGCGGCGCTTATAATCCAAAAGAAACCGGATTGGACACCGGCGCAAATAATGTCAGCAATAATGACTACAGCGAGTGGAGAAAACAACCAAGGGGGGCGGATTAAGAAGCCGAATGGGAACGATGCGACGTGGTGGGATATGGGAGCAGGGCATGTAGATGCTGCTAGGGTGTTGGATCCTGGGTTGACGTTCAATGCGGGGTATGGTGATTATGTGAGCTTTCTGGCTGGTAGGAGCATGGCAGAAACGGCACGTGTGCTGAATGTTGGGAAGAAGAAGGGTGGGAAAAAAAGGGGTCACAGCCGTAGCAGCCGAAGTGGTGGCACCAGCACCAGTGGTGCCAACATTGCCAGCAGCAGTAACAACGACAACAGCAACAGCAGCAGCAGCAGCAGCAGCAGCAACAGCAGCTTCATCAGTGGTAGTGGCGGCGGCAGCAGCAGCAACAGCGGCAACAGCAGCGACAGCAGCAAGGGCAACAGCAGTGGTAGAAGAAAGGTCAAACAGGCTTTAACAGCAAAGAAGCAAAGGTGGTGGCAGTGGCAGTGGTGGAGATGGGCTCAAAACGGTTCCCCCAAAAAGACATCCACCACCATCCGTACCATCCCAGCGACGCATCTCAACCGTCCATCCATCTCTGTTTCTCGGCTCCAGGGAACAACTGACATCCCGAGAACAGTCACCAACGCGTACAATGCCACGTCAGCATACCAAGCCACGGTTACATCTCCTGTTGGTGTGGACGTTCAGATTATCCCGGACCAGTTTACAATCGGTCCGGGGCAGTCGAAGCGGTTTGTGGTACGGCTGCAGCCCAATGGGGAGGCAGCGGAGGCTTGGGAGAGGTTCGGGTTTGGTTCGGTGAGGTGGGAGGATGAGCATGGGCATGTGGTGAACATGCCTTTAGTCACACGGGTGAGTGCTTGAAGCTGCTGAGGTCGAGAGAAAGAGCAGGTGGAGCAGGAGAAAGAGGGGATGTTTCAGAGTGATGCTGCGTGCAGTATCGTATCGTTCTCAATGGGCTGGTTTTTTACTCAGATTACCAAGTGTGGTAGTCACTCTGTGTGATGTATTTGGAGTTTTTTGCCCAGCCCAACATGCTTTGCATGAAAAGATATACTACAGTGCCAGCGTTTTACAAAGCAGTGCTCATGAGGTAACATATAGAGAGGTACAATAAGGGATGGCTGCAAATTAAACTCATTTTCTAGGCAACAAGACAAGAAGCTATGTACACACGACCAGTGTAACAAATCTCATGCACATGCAGTGAGTTTATTGCAGGCCCTCAGATTCGTTTTGGGGCTGTTTGATTCGTCAGACTTAGTACCATCATCGTCCGGATATAAGACAGTGTTGAATAGTAGATAGGGGTTGTCTACTATACGGGTGTCTCTTATAAACAGGCTAACCTTTTTATACGACACCTATTTGTGTGTACGAGATAAGACATATATGTCTTATAATCATAACCAGGGTTTAGGGGTTTTTTTATAAACAGGGGGTGTCTTCTAAACGAGCCTTCCTTACTTTAGGGGGGTACATGCATACAGTCATGAATCTCTTCTACCTAACCCCCCTCAGTCACCGCCTCCTCACCTGCACTAACAACAGGCTCTACACCCAGGTCTGGCACTCGCCAGGCATGCCTAGCCGTCTCCCTAGGCTCGATCATGCGGTCAGCCTCGGCCGCCGCTCCGCGGTAGTTGGGGGTCTCCTGGTACAGCACCTCCAGGCCGGTTGCCACGGCCACCTCCCGCACGCCCTCCGCCTGCATCGCCTCCTCCTCCTCTGGAGCCCGACCGAGCAGGCGCGTGTTGTCGCCTGTGGTCCCCCCGAGGGACATGTCCGCGGAGACATCGGTGGTGCTCCTGGCGCGCAGGTGAGACATCACCAGGTGGTTCTCCGTTCCGTCCAGCTTGCTCGAGATCCCACAGTGGCGGAACGCGTCGATGATATCTGCTTGGGGACTTGATCCCAAGCCTCCGCGATCCACTGCAGCACCACGGGGTGCGGAGGCCTCCGCAGGTTCCCTGCGGATGGGACAGAGGACGGGGCAGCGAGATGTTAGAGACACGGATATGAAGGGGCATGTTTAAGACAAGGACTGGAAACAGAACAGGAATAAAACCGTAAATGAAGGACCAACTCACCCTTCTTCGTCTTCAAATGAATCCCTTCACGCATTAACCACCTGGCGTAGCGCGCTCGCACATCAGCCTTGAAGCACCGGTTGATGGAGACGTCCGGGGGTTGAATCTGGCTCGTACAACCCGCTGGGATGACTGCAGGGGTGATGCTGTGCGTGCGGTACGACTGAAGCATGGTCTGGGTGATGTGACCGCGGTAGGAGTCCAACACCAGCATCGCCCGCCTTGCGTTCTGGCCGCGCTGGGGGTTCAGATGGGGCAGCACCTCCTTGGACAGCCAGGTCTGCACAGCGCTCTCGTCCATCCACCCGTTGTCCTGTGCTTGGACCACAATTCCTGCCAGGCACACAAGGGACAGACGGGCATCAGCACAGTGGGGCACGCTCATCAGGCAGTCGCACGGTTGAATTCATTACGCTTACCTTCCGGAATCTCACAGTTGGGGACGTTCTTCATCTTGAACCACACCCACGGCCGCAGCTTCTCCCCGCATGCAGTGCACGCGGGCATCACCGTCAAGCGCGTCTTCTGGTAGCCTGCAGTGCGGATTGGGACCGAGCGCGCGCCACGGTGCTCGATCGTCCCACTTCAGCTTCTCACGCACGGTCCAACTGCGGCGCTTCTTCGTAGTGTCTTTGCAACGAGGGGAAGGTGGGCTGGTGTTGGGATTATGGAGGGTGGGGTCCTTCGGCGTGACCTTCTCAGGGAACGTGGGAATCGGGCCCGTCGCCGCCGCGTACTTATCGTCGCTGCCCAGCGTCTCGTTCACGACGATGTCGTCAGGATTCGGCGCCTTCTTCGCCTTCTTCTTAGCCGCACCCTTGCTGGATCCCGGGTCTCCGTCGGATGTCCGCTTCTTGTTGCTTGTGCGGCGACGAGCAGGGGCCTTAGCAGGGGCTTCCGCGACCTTGGCTTTCCCCTTCTCCGCAGCGGTGGGTATCGGGCGACGCTCCTCCCCCGGACCGTCGTCGTCAGAGAGCACAACGCGGGCCCGCTTCGACTTGGACTGTAGGCGATGGCGCAGCCTCCGCTTCAGTAGCGGAACGTCGTCGTCGGTCCCAAGGCTCCATGGGTCGTCGTCGCCGCATTCCTCGTCAAATAAGACGGCATCCGCAGCAACCTTGTCCGACTCCGCCACAGCATCTGCATCCGCAATTGCGGCCGCATCCGCAGGCGCAACTGTCTCAAGTTCCGCCCCCGCCTCGTCGTCAGCCTCCTCATTCGCATCCACCGCCGCTTCCTGTGCATCCGCCGCTGCCTCCGCGTTGTCACCATGCGCATCTTCACCTCCGTCGTTGTCGGAATCACCAGCCCGCCACTCTTCCACCTCGTCGTCGCTCCCGACCGGCCGATTCCACCATTCGTCCTCCTCGATGTCGGCAGGACCTAATTCGTCGCCCGAAGCGCTGTCGTCGTGGCCGTTCTCCGGCCAATCCTCCTCGGCGTCGTCGCCGTTCGCTTCGTCTCCGTCGTCCCCGTCACAGCTCGCACCGGAGGCGGCGGTAGGACTTCCCGCCTTGCTCGCGTTCTTCGCCATGGCTACACGGATGTCATCGCCGGGCGAGTTAATTCGCCCGTAGTTATTCACCTGCACGTGAGGACGAGGTGAGGACTTGCCTACTGGTACTTTGCTGCGCATGGTTAGAGAGCCTGCCGAGAGCAAGGTTGAGACGAGTATTCAACCTCCTTGAGCACGAAATGAAGTGAGAGCCCGACTACCCCCCCCAGCCAGAGTGCCCCATCCACAGGTGCCGAGCCGCTCCTCTACGAGGCATCTCCTCGTAGAGGACAGCCCTCACGCTGCCAACGTGCTGCCAGCAGCGTCCTGGAAGCATCCCTGCGCTGCTGGCAGCAAAACGACGCTGGCAGCATCATTAGATGCTGCCAGCACAGAGGAATGTTGCCAGCGATGGCAGCTCCCTCACGTGGCAAGTGTGGGCGCTGCATGCATCACCCCCGAGGTCGGCCTGTTTCAATGAATCTGGTCCTTGGGTGGTTTCTACACACTTTGCAAGTGTTACAGTCAACTTAATTTTTTTTTCCATTTATAAGACTTATAAGACACCCTAAACCATCCCGTTTACAAGATAAATCAAGCATTTTTGCCCGTGTACGAGATAAGACATATACGTCTTATATCCGGGCGATGACAGTACACATTTTTAGTCTGATTAATCAGACTTGGTACAAAGTATACAAGTTCAAGAGTTCAAGAGTATACAAGTCTGATTACACAGAGTTCACATCAGTAGGGAAGCTGATGGATCAGCCTACAACGAGGTGGTGATTGCGCCGCGCAACACTGCTGTCACTGTTTCAGCTTGATTGACAGGACTGAACTGTACTTGCAGCGCTCATCGCGGCTGTTAGGGCAGATTTCGCACAGGAATACCAGAGTAGGTACCCGCTAAACCGCTCATGGATCAGAGTACACTCTGAGAAAAAGGCTGAAAAATCAGACAAGGCCTACATTTTTTTTCTGAATATTCAGAGTTCACAGCAAAAAAAACTCTGAACTTTCAGAGTTCACTAAAAAAAAAGGCTGAAATATCAGACTTTTTTAGGCAAATCAGAGAAATTTCTCTGACTTCTGGGGGCCTGGTTTATTGGCAAAACCCCATATGCACATCAACAAACACTGGTGCTCAGGGCGTGTTCCTACGGCCCCTTATCAGGGCAACCCCTTATCAAGCTCGCTACTTTTCCCCCTGAAAATTCCCTAAACCCAAAAACCCTCGCTACTTTTACCAGGCAAGGCTGACAAGAGGTTTGCCTGATAAGAGCGTAGGAACACGCCCTCAGAATGGCATGAGATAGCATGCAATGCACAGGATGGCACGGCATCATGGTAGGAGATGTGAGAGCCAGAGACCACAGCAGAAGCACGCCAAGGCTTGAGTTGAACCCTCAGACAGAACAGAACCCTTTCTCCTTTCACTGCTGCTGTGGCTGGCATCGGAGAGAGTGAGTGAACCCTGGAACGACAGAGAGAAGTGGTTGCTGGGCCGGTGGTTGCTGGGCCAGTGGTCGCTGGGCCAGTGGCAAGTGGGCATGGCACCATTGTGGAGGAAGTGGGGTATTGGCAGCACATCTATGCTTGAAGCGCGTGCAGCTTTGGCGCGCGTTACTGCTCTTTCGGCTGACATCGGAGGGTGAACTCTGCGAGCAGGGAGAAGTGGTCGCTGGGCCAGCGGCGAGTGGGCGTGGCGCCGTTGTGGGGGAATTGGGGCACTGGCAGCACATCTAGGCTTGAAGCACTTGTAGGCTTGAAGCGTGTCACTGTTGCTGAGGCCGGCATTGAAGGGTGAACTCTGCAATTAAGGAGAAGTGGTCGCTGGGCCAGCGGCGAGTGGGCGTGGCGCCGTTGTGGGGGAAGTGGGGCACTGGCAGCACATCTAGGCTTGAAGCACTTGTAGGCTTGAAGCGTGTCACTGTTGCTGAGGCCGGCATTGAAGGGTGAACTCTGCAATTAAGGAGAAGTGGTCGCTGGGCCAGCGGCGAGTGGGCATGGCGCCGTTGTGAGCAAAGTGGGACACTGGGAGCACGTCTAGCACTCTCTGCACCTCCAACTCATGGGTGTGCCTGGTGAGAGCGGGAGCAGGGGTGAAGAGGGGTGATGAGGGGTGACGAGGGGTGGAGGGGTGAAGAGGGGCGAAGAGGGGCGAAGAGGGGCGAAGAGGGGTGAAGAGGGCCGAGTAGGGGTGAAGAGGGGTGCAAGGAATTGTGGTTGATTGGTCTAAGGTGGGGTGTGGGTGGAACGCAAGGAGCACATCCAACACTCCCTTCACCTCAAGGAAAAGTGGGGGATGTTTAGGATGGGAGGGATTGCGAGGAGTGAAAGGGATGGGTATTCCTTGTCAGGGTGACGGTGAGGGTGAGGGTGAGGGTGAGGGTGAGAGGAAGAGGGTGAGGAGGGTGAGGGTGGGGGTGAGATTGGAGGAGAGACTTAGCGAAGGAGGTGGGGGAACGAGCTCACCAGATGTAGTCCACAGTTCCGCAGAAGTTTGCATGGAATGACGTCAGCAGAGGTTCTCCCTTGGGGCATGCATGACGATTCTCGGTCTGCCAGAATGCAACGATGAGGGAAGCAAGCAGAAAGGTGACGTCAGCAAGCAGAACGATGACGTCAGCAAGCAGAACGATGACGTCAGCAAACAGAACGATGACAGAAGCAATCAGAAAAATGGTGTCAGCAAACGGAATAATGGCACAAGCATTTAGAGTGATATTGTCGGCATGCAGAACAACAGGGCATGTGCATGTGCTTATCCTAAGTGCAGAAATGAGTCACGTGTTTTGTAGGCAGTATTTGAGTAATGTCAACATACACTTACAATCCCAAACAACGAAAGTGCAGGAGGGGAAAGTGCATGTGTGAACAACAAACCCCTGAACAGAAGCTCACGGAAGAAAAGTGTATGTTGCTGTGTGAATGAAAGGGCCCGAGGAAAAACTGATCTTACCGGTGCTTGTGAATACGCGCTCTTGAGTTTCAGAGGGTGTTTCACAACAGTGTCCACTCCATCACTCCCTGTTGCAATCCTTAGCTCCTCAAAGGACCATCCCCCCATTCTTCCCATCCGTCCCATCCCTCCCACTCCTCCCATCCCTCCCATCCCTCCCCATCCTAATCCTCCGCTCGCCAGAGCAAAAGTGCTGCCCCCCCACCCACTGCCATCGTTGCCCAATGCCCCCATCCCCTCCTGCCCGTTCTCATTGACAGCCACTCTCTGCCGTTTCGCCTCTGAGATGGAAACAAAACTGCCAGATGTCAACCCGCCATTGGCCGATCCCTCTGCTGTGATGCTGCTGATGGTGGTAGCAGCGGTGGTGGTGGCGGTGGTGGTACTGGTGGTGGTGGCGGTGGTGGCACTGGTGGTGGTCTCAGAAGCACCGGATTTCTCTGTCGACCAGTGCTGACTCAAGTGGGAAGCCGATTGGAACCGAACTTGCTGCTGCCCCTCCCCTCCCTCCAGCTGCCCTGATACCCTTCGCCGATCAGTGAGAGCAAGATCAAGCTGCAAGACAGGACAGGTGCAGGAGCAAAGGTGGAGGAACTGAACGGTGGCTTTTGAGTCGATGTTAAAGAGGATTTGTGACTGCCCCCCCCCAATCGGTGAGAGCCAGATTCAACTGCAAGGCAGGATGGATGGGTGAAGGACGGAGGTGGAGAGATGGAGAAATTCAACAGAGGCAAAGAGAAACTGCAGGGTAGATCACCCTAACATAATTTAGAGTGTAATGAGTCACCATGGCATAGATAAAAGCGGGTTTGTTCAAAGAAGGAACTGGAAACAACAGCAGAAAAAGAAAGGGAACTATAGCACAATAACACATCCGCCACTTCACCAGAATCTAATAGTCGGCATTTGATAAGCCTACTTGTGAAGAAGCGATAAAGTCATAGAGTGCACAATTTTGAGTCGACTCAAAACACGGCTCTTCACCAGCTATATTGAAATCACTTTTGAGAATTCTCAAAAGTGATTTCAATAGTGCACAGTTTTGAGTCGACTTAAAACACGGCTCTTCACCAGAATTTGATAGTCAGCATTTGATAAGCCTACCTGCGATGAAGCGATGAAGTCATAGAGTGCACTCTGTAGCGGCAAGAAACACACACAGACAGTGCAGCGCACCCAGAGAGAAAAATAAGAGGGAGAACAGAGTTCATTGCAGCTGCGCACGATGGCTTGGATTGGACAAGCCGAGCACAAATCCAGACAGTACAGCACACGCGGAGAAGAAACAAGAGGAAGAAATAAGAGGAAGGAAGAAACAAGACAGTAAACGGAGTTAGATTGCAGCTCCGCACGATGGCTTGGACAAGACGAGCACAAATGGGAAACTAAAGAGCATGAACGAGATTAGTGATTGGATGAACCTTCTTCTGGACTCTAGTGCTGACTTGCGTTGACTTGCATTGACTTGTAGTAACTTGTAGTGACCTCGATTGAACTTACAGCAGGAGTGGCGTTGAAATCCCCGCACACCACAACCGGGCAGCTTCCATGCTTCTCGGATAGCTAATGGGCGGCAGACAGGAGCCGGGACATCCGTGGCACTTCTGGACTTCCATTGACTTGTACTGACTCCCATTGACTGGCGCTGGCTTCTACCATACATACTCACCGCAGGGGTGGCGTTGAAATCCCCGCACACCACAACCGGGCAGCTGCCATGCTTCTCGGACAGCTGATGGGCGGCAGACAGGAGCCGGGACATCCGTGGCACTTCTGGACTTCCATTGACTTGTACTGACTCCCATTGACTTGCGCTGGCTTCTACCATACATACTCACTGCAGGGGTGGCATTGAAATCCCCGCACACCACGACCGGGCAGCTCCCGTGCTTCTCGGACAGCTGATGGGCGGCAGACAGGAGCCGGGACATCTGGGCCAGCTTGATGTCTCCTCGCTTCGGGTTGAAGAGCACGTGAATATTGGCGAGGACGAGACAGCTGTGATTGGGGAGTTGGAATGGGTAAAGGGGGAAGGTGGTGCAGGGTGGATGGGGTTGATGAGGGTCACATGAGAGGTGTAATGTCTCCTCGCTTGGGGTTGAAGAGCACGTGAATGCTGGCAAGGACGAGACAACTGGGGGATGGGGAGTTGGAGGTGGGTGAGGAGGGGGGGGAGGAATGGTGGGGAAGGATAAAGCAGATAGAGCGGGTTGCACTGGGACAGCTGAGCCAGCTTGATCTCACCATGCTAGGGGTTGAAGAGGACGCGAAAGTTGGGGTGAACAGCGGAGGATGAACAATATCTGAGACGCGGTTTGGTGCAATTATGCAGTGGTTGGAATGTTGGTGAACGGGTGGCTCAGCACGGGTCAGTGACCCTTTAGATATTCCTCATCAGCTTGTGACCATTTCGTGATGAACTCAGCCAGAGTCACTGACCTGTGCTGAGACATCCATTCACCAACACTCCAGCACTGCATGATTCCACCAAACCACTTCTCAGGTATTGTTCATCCTCCACTGTCCACTCTGTCAACTAGGCGAGGGGCAGAGCTCAACTGACTGACTTTAATTTCTGCCTGCTGTTCTCTTCTTCTGCCTCTTCTCCTCCTTCCAGTTCCTCCACTCCTTCCCCCCCTCTTGTTTTCGAGAATTCTCAAAAGGGACAAGTCTTGCTACAAGGTGCAAAGGTGCAAAAAGTCACCTGCTATTCTCTTCATCCCTCTCTTCTCCTTCTTCCAGTTCCTCGACTCCTTCCCCTTCCTTGTTTTCTCCAATAAACTGGTTAAATGAAGCGGGCCACAGTGAGGTCATACGGGGAGGAAGAGGCGGGTTTTGGGCCAAGGAAACAGAGAAACAACTTGACAGCTTTCGATGGACCAAGTAAACCGGAGTCAACAAATTCATTCCTAACCAACAAGGTGACTCATGGTACCTTCAAAATTAGAATAGTGAGCAGGGCGGCATTGTCTCTCAGGCCAGGCCCATAGCTGCAAAATTTGATTAATTCAGAGTCAACACAGGACCACATTCAGTGCAAATGTGGGGCGAGGATGCAGAGGACGGGAGACACGAAACACAGAGCTTCTTAATAGTCAATGAATGCATCCAGGGTACCTTGAGCACGGTGAGAAGGGCAACATTGTCTCTCAGGCCCACAGCTGCAAACTCGATGGACTGGAAGTCAACACAGGACCACCTGTGATGTGCATGCGGGAGAGGAGGAAAGAAGAAGAATCGGAAGGGACAAGGAAAGAATCGGTGAAGATTTTTTTTAGCCACCTCAATGATTCCCACCAAAGCAAAGTCAATAGATTGAAAATCAACACACGACCACCTGCAGTATGAAGGGAGAGGACACAGATGAAGGGGATGGGATACACGTGGGGTGGGACACACCTGGCATGGGACACACGTGGGGTGGGACACACCTGGCATGTGACACACGTGGGGTGGGACACACCTGGCATGGGACACACGTGGGGTGGGACACACCTGGCATGGGACACACGTGGGGTGGGACCCACCTGGCATGGGACACACGTGGGGTGGGACCCACCTGGCATGGGACACACGTGGGATGGGACCCACGTGGGGTGGGACACACCAGGAAAGGGACACACAACGCATCCTAGATATGAACATACATACAACACGTGCATCAGAAAACCACATGGCTCACCTCTTGGTATTCCAGAAATTAGCGCAGCCGTCCTTGTTGCCTCCCGTGCGACACTGGAAGGAAAACAATCAAAAAGGGAATATAAGTGAGATACACATGCATGGGCACATACACGCGCATGGGAACGCACGCGTACATGCAAACAGCTTGCCTGACTAAAATAAATAGAATAGAATCAGATCAAATGAATCACATCAAAGATAATCAGCACAACCGGAAGATGCCAACGTAGCCCAGCTTGCTTTTTGAGTCGGCTCAAACCAAATCAAATCGAATCTTATCAGCGCACCTGGAAGATGCTGTCATAGCCCAGCTTGTTAAGTGCTCCACATAGATCTGCATGGTTGTCCACCTCCTACAATGCAACAACAAACAAAAGGAGCCACTTTTGATAAAAACAGTTTACTCCTCACAAGTAGCTTGTTCATCGCTCACTCCACATACATAGATCCGCATGGTTGTCCACCTCCTGCTATGCAACGCAAGAAACACGGCATGGACAGCCAAAGTGCATCTTAAAGAGATTAATCAACATGCCCCTGGATTCTCCTTGGAAATTCTCTAATGCGCATCATCACCCCCCCCCGAACCCATCGGCGTGTATATAGAGCGTTAGTTTTGTGGAATTCTCAAAAGCGTTCATACAGTCCAGTTCAAAACCATTGAACCCTGAATCTGCACTCACAAACCCTGAATTTCCCAGCCCCACCTGCAAGCAAGCAGATGAGATCCGGGGAATGCTGTCTGATCTCCTTCACAATCCCCTGCCTCTGATTCCAAAGCAGCACGTCTTGAAGCTTGAACCAAAGCCTTAAACTCTGAACCCTGAACCCTACCTGCAGGCATATGAGATCAGGCGAGTGCTGCTTGATCTCCTTCACGATGCCGTGCCTCCTCTGGTTCCAGTGCAGCACGCCTCTGGGCACCCCGGGGTAGAGCTCACGGGCGAACTTGGCAGCGTGGCAGGACGCCAGCACATTGTAGCTCATCACACTCACTCTCACACGCGCGCCCCCTGCACCTGCTTGCCCCTCTCTATGCGCCCCCCTATGTGTGTTCGTATGTGTGCCAGCTTGCGTGTCAGCATGTGTGTAACCATGTGTGCCTGCATGAGCGTTTGTGTTCCTCTCTGCATGCACGCCTGCATGTGCGTCTGCCTGTGCCCCTGCGGCACTGCCTGTATGCCTGCCTGCACTCCCCCCTGTTTCACACGCTTTTCCCTTCTCCGCCCCTGACTCACCCCCCCTGCACCTGATCCACTGCCTCTTCTCCTCCCCTCCGCTCCCAATCCCTCCTCCCCACTTTCCTCTCCCGCCCTCCCCCCTCCATCTCCTATGCTCCCCTTCCCCTTCTCCCCTGCCCCTGCCAGAACCCCAACCGCCTTGAGTCCCTTCTCTTCCTCCCTCTCTTCCTCCCCCTCCTCCCCCCCATCCTCCTCTCCCTCTTTCTCCCCCTCGTCCCCCTCCCCACCTCCCCCCTCCTTCTCTTTCTCTCCATACACGCTGTCCGCTTTGCCCTCCTCCCGTTCCGTCCTGTCTTCCTCTTCCCCCCCCTCCTCCGCCCCTTCCTCCCCCTCCTGCTCCGCTGTCGAACCTAGCGGCTAGGCCTGGAGTTGAAACCGGAGGCTGGGACAACCCCACACCTTGGGAATTTCCTTGACGGTTCGTAGAAAGCTGCTGGAAGGAATTCGAGAGCGAATTCGCAGATGAGATACCGAGAAATGGGGAGGGGATGGGCGCGGAGTGAGAAGGGGGAAACGCGGATATGGATTGGGGAAGCGCGGAGTGGTTAGGGAGAAACGCGAAAGGGGGTTGGGGAAGCGCGGAGTGAGAAGGGGGGAAAGCGGAGAGGGAGTGGGGAAGCGCGGAGTGGGTTGGGGGAAACGCGGAGGTGGATTGGGGAAGCGCGGAGTGAGAAGGGGGGAACGCGGAGTGGGTAGGCGGAAATGCGGGGAGGGATTGGGGAGGCGCGGAGTGGGAGAAACGGCAGCGGTGGCCGAATCGGCATCCGGCGGGGGAGAGGAAGCTATAGCACACCGGCGCAGATGTATTAGCCGGAGGCGCGGACGGATTAAACGAAGGTGGAGGAATAGCCGATCCGTTCCATCCGCCGCCGCCGCCGCTCCCGCTGCCATTCACGCTGTTCTGATATCCCCGCCACGACATGGCGTGCCGCGATACAAGCACGAAAAGAAGCCCGATCGGCCCGGTAGTCGGCGTTAGACGCCGGGAACGGGAGGGCGGCAGAGAAAGCGGATTCAAAAGGGAACGTGAGGCTGGAGAGTTGGCGGTGATAGTGACGCTGAGCGCGTGGGCTGTGGTGGTGAAGCTCAGAGCGCGGATGGCGGGAAAACGATTTAGGGCGTATCCATGTTCGGGTCATGGGCACTGTTCCGGGCATCCGCAATTTGCGGATGACCCAAACAACATAAAACGCCACTTTGGGTCATCCGAACTCCTGCGACCCCCAAAGAGCCGCGAGGGTTTTCGCGCCAAAATCAATCTCCCCACAACAGTCGCATCCAATGGAGGGATGCCAGAACAGTTCGTAAGATCCACGCGAAACCACGCGAAACCCACCGAAAAAACACAAACGTAAAAATTCCAGGCGTAAATCCCCAAATGTTGGGAGCGCGACGCGGGAAATTTTAGACAAACTCATTTTCACTGGGGTCAATTTGCCGAGTGGTTGGGTGCTGAGGTGTAAGACGTGGGACATTGCCCACTTGTGACACTCGACTGACGACCGCCAAAAAATGGCAGTAAATACAGAATCGTGCAGCCAGGTGATTGGTTGGGGGTGGGTCGTGCACGTCAGTCGCCCAACACCTGCACATTGACCCAAAGCTGGGGCCGCGCGCGGCTCGGCAGCCCCTTCGGGTCATGCGCAAATTCCGCATGACCCAAACAGTAGCCAGAACAGTGCTCATGACCCGAACATGGATACGCCCTTATATGAAGGCACGAAACGGAAGCAGAGTTTTACTTAACATCGATCAGACCAATAAAAAAAATGTTTTTCAGGCCCCCGTAGCTCAGTTGGTTAGAGCGTTGGTCTTATGAGCCGAAGGTCGCGGGTTCAAGCCCCGCCGGGAGCAGATTTCTCTCACCACAGCAAATAGAAAGGTTTTTTTTTTGCCAATGAGGCAAGAAAGGGCAAATTGGTTCCTCCTTCCTAAGGTTGGTTCGGTGTAACCCAGTTGCCAAGGGAGTCAACGGGTATGCACCCAAACCTGATCGTGAATGCGAGCCAGACGGAAACAGTGTCGCAACGATGAAAACTCACTTTGGCCAATGCCGCGCAACACCAACTTCCACAAACATGAGTACCAGACACTGAAACCTGTCCAAAAAACGCATCAGAATTTTCCCGGGTTTCTAAGAACCAAGTATAGACACGCTACGCACGCCAACTAGCAGATGTACCGCACTGCACGCTCGCGAGAAGCTCATAAGACTAGAGGTACCTACGCTTTGAAGGGAGTCTGGAAAGGCGACATTGCTCGAAAATGGAGTGTCGTGTTCGGTGATAAAACGAAATTACAAGCGGGCCTTGCGTGAGGCCAAGGTGGAAAAGCGGACGCCATATCACACGTAACAACGCTAGGTGGCCATCACAATCTGAGGGTTTCTTTATAATTCGAATCTTGCGGTCACCCAGCTGCATTCGCGCCATCGCGTTCGCCCAGCCGCCTTCGTGCCATCGCGTTCGCCCTGCCGCGTTCGCCCTGCCGCGTTCGCCCTGCCGCCTTCGCGCCATCGCGTTCGCCCTGCCGCGTTCGCCCTGCCGCGTTCGCCCTGCCGCCTTCGCGCCATCGCGTTTGTCTTGCCGCCTTCGCGCCATCGCGTTTGTCTTGCCGCCTTCGCGCCGACGCTTCCGCCCACATGCACATGCGGCTTCGCGTTCGCCTGTTAGAAACCAGGAACAGCGGAATGAGTTTGACTAGCAGAAGATAGGTACAAGTAGGAAACCCTAGAAGTGTTGTATTCTATACTATGCACCCCACTTCAGCCTAACAAACCTAACAAACCTAGCAAACATACAAATATGTTTTGACACACCCCCATAAGCTAAGTGAGGGATATCAAGAGAGAGAAAAACCACAGATGGTCACAAGACCAGTCGAGAGAAGCAACAAAGCAAAGCTCAACGCCTAGCCCGCGCCGTAGGCGTATCCGTTGTCTCCACTCCGACCGTGGGGGTGAGTATTGCTCCGGCGTCCTTGCCGGGTTCTGCGGCGAGCAGGGCATCAGACAGTCCTGGACGCTGCCGAAGTCCCCACAGCATAATGGGGCTGCTGAGCGCCGCATTGGCTTGGTTATGGACATCGCCCGCACGTCCATGATCCATGCCCGTGCGCCCCATTTTCTGTGGCCCTACGCGCTGCGCTACGCCGTGCACCAGCTGAACCTCCAGCCGCGTGTCTCGCCGCCAGAGGTTTCACCGACCAGTCTTTGGGCTGGGTCCTCTGGTGCTGGGTCGGCTTTTTGTGTCTGGGGCTGCCTTGCGCTTGTCCGCGACACCTCTGCGGACAAGCTCTCGGCCCGCGCCATCCTCTGTGTCTTCCCTGGTTTCCCGGTGGGCTCTCCCAACTACGCCTTTTACAATCCGCCCCTCCACCAGTTTCTCGACTCTCGTGACGTCCGTTTTGACGAGTCCGTGTCCTACTACACCCGGTACCCCTGTCGAGGTCTCCCGGTTCCCCCTCCCCCCCTCTTCCTCGCACCCTCTCCTCCCCATGCTCCCGCTCCTCCGGTACCCCAACCCTCCCCCCGGTCCTACCCCGTCAGGTGTGTCTCCCGCTACCCCTCTACCCTCGGTCGTGCGTCAGGTAGCGTCTCCCTCCTTGCAGTCCTCCTCACAGTCCCCTCAGCAGCCTTCGGCACTTCCGCGACTGGTTACTGTGGACTCAGGTGATGTTGGAGCTGGAGGTGTAGGCACTGGAGGTGCTCGGTCTGGGGGCGCTCGTTCGAGAGGTGTTGGAGCTGGAGGTACTGGCGCTCGTGGCACTAGTTCTGGGGGTGCTGGAACTGGAGGAATTGGCACTAGAGGTGCTAGTTCTTGGGGTGCTAGAGCTGGAGGTGCTGACGCTGGTGGTACTATCTCCGGGGGTATTGGAGCTGAAGGTACTGGCACTGGTGGTGCCAGTTCTGGGGTGCTGGAGCTAGAGGTGCTGGCGCTGTAGGAGCTGGTACTGAGGAGAGAGGAGCTGGAGGCATGACTACTGCGGCGCCCACTGCGCCTCCCCACCGCTACGACACCCATTTCCAGGCCCTTCGCCGCCCTGAGCGCGAGGAGCAGGAGCAGTTAGAGCAGGAGAGGCAGGAGTTGCAGCAGTTGGACCAGCAGCAGTAGCAACAGCAGCAGCAGCAGCCGCCACTTTTGCAGCAGCTGTTCCCTCTAGTGAGTGGCCTTTGGGCCCTTGGTCCTCCTTCCTCTCCTCTTATACACGCACAATCTCCTACCGCGTTCGGCTCTACGTTTCCTCCTCCGGACTCGGCTCCTGCTGTTTTCTCTCCTCCTCAATCACAGTCGTCTCCTCTTGTTGTCCGGCACGACTGGACCAGTCGTTGTCCTCCACGTGCTCGGCCCTCGTCTCCTCTTGCCAACCTCCACACTGTCTTGTTTCGTTCTCCTCCTCATCGTTCTCCGCCTGTGTCTGTTCTCCCCTCACCTCCTGGGTCGTCTCTCACCGTTTCCTCTCACCCTATCACTCACTACTACCATGCTGCTCGCGCTGTTGTCTCTCGTATTCTCGCCTCTCTTGTCACTGACCCTCATGCCTCTCCGTCGTCTGTCTCGGCACTTACTGCCGATGTCGCTGACTTTGCTTCCACCCGCCGTCTTGACTACGCCACGCGCGTGGTGGCTGCTCCACCTCCCCATCCACTGTCTGTCGAGGGTGAGTCTGCCCTTGGCTGTGACGTCCCAGAGGACAGGCAGTTTGAGCTGGAGTTCTTAGCAGCCACTTCCCCCTCTCTCTGCGCCATGCTGCTTTCCCTTGAGGGAGACCACGACGCCCTTGACATACCGACACCTTGACGTACCGTGAGGCATCGTCAGGGGAGTGGGCCTCTCAGTGGAAAGCGGCTATGGATGCAGAGTTAGCGTCTTGGAGATCCACGGGCACTTACGTCGACGCAGTTTTCCCTACCAGGGCGAACGTTGTCTATGGCATGTGGCTCTTCAAGGTGACGCGGCCGCCTGGGTCACCGCCTGTATTCAATGCGCGCTACATGGCTAGAGGTTTCAGTCAGCATGAGGGAGTGGACTTCTTCCAGACCTTCGCCCCGACCCTGAAGATGACTACTCTTCGGGTGTTATTGCACGTAGTAGCACAGCAAGACCACGAGTTGCACTCCCTCGACTTCTCCACTGCGTTTCTTCAGGACCGCCTACACTAGGAGATCTGGCTGCGCCGTCCGCCTGGCTTCACTTACACCTTCCCACCTGGGACCCAGTGGAGCCTAAGGCGGCCAGTCTACGGTCTCCGCCAGTCGCCCCGTGAGTGGCACGACACTTTTCGCTCCATGCTTCGTGGCCTTGGGTTTCGTCCTTCCTCTGCCGACCCGTCGCTGTTTGTTCGCGCTGATTCCACTCTTTTCTTTATACTAGTTTACGTCGACGACTTGGTCTTTGCTACAGCGGACAGGGCAGCTCTGGCTGAGGTGAAGTCCGAACTGCATAAGAGACACACGTGCACTGACCTCGGTGAACCGCAGCGCTACCTTGGCCTGCACGGACAGAGTCGCTCGCACTATCACACTGACTCAGTCACACATGGTGCAGCAGGTCCTTCGGTGGTTCGGGTTTCAGTTCTCCACCACATAGCCCACTCCTCTTGCTGTTGACCACCGACTCACTGGCCCTTATCCCGACGAGCCCCTTGAATCTAGTGGTCCCTACGCAGAGCCTGTGGGCTGCCTCATGTACCTGATGACTTGTACTCTCTCGCTTTATTGCGACTAGGAGACATCGTCCTGTTCACCGACCTGGCGACTACTTCAGGCATCGGGCTTGTGGTTGGAGGGACACATCCAGTTGTGTTGACCGGTCACTGTGTCTCTTCCTACGCTGACGACGTGGAGTTTCAGCGCTCGACTCAGGGTTACTGCTTCAGTCTGGGTACTGCCGCTGTGTTGTGGAGGTCCACACGGTCGTTGTT